CAAGCATGTTGCCCATGTCGTTGGGGAGAGCGGTCATGGTTTCATCCATGTCGGCTCGACGACTCCAAGTCTGCAAGTCGGCACCGCGGGACGATGACGTCGTAGTCTCGTCGTCGACGGTCGCTCGTTGGAAGTCGCTCCCCGCGAAGGCTCTGATACCAAGTGTTAGGCCCCTTGGCCTAAATCCGCTAAGGACTAGCGGGGTTGACTAAATTGAGGATAAACGCGGAGGAAGACTTTGGCGAAAGAGAGTGTTGGCGAAATAGGCGAAGAGGTAACTGAGTAATTGAAGAGTTGAATGAGAATTGATTGATATTGGGGAATACAAACAAGGTTGATATAGCATGCAAAGTCGAATGTCGGAAAGTACTTCGTGGGACTAGAATTGTAAGGCAAGAAGAGTAGAGTGCCACGTGGCACTAGGAAATCTGGAAAGATAGGATGATAAGGTTGGGAAGTACTGTTCTGGATGAACAGTAAAACCCCCTGTAACACCAGGACAAGTACCGTAAGTGTATATTTGGATAAATACAAAGTTATCAACAGTCCTAATATTGCAACCAAGTTACTCAGTTGGCATACCATTTCAAGTTCCTGGTAAAAAAACAAAGTTATTTTCCTAATGGGTAAGGGTTTTCGTGCATTTTTTGATTCGTTTTCGATAGTCTACGTATAACGAGTTCGAGTTTGTGCAGGTCCGCATTACGCACAGGATGATGTTGTCCTTCCCGTTGTGCTCAAATTCCAGGCCTTGGTTTCCGAGCCTACGTGTGCGCCCCTTACACGTGGCGGCTAAAGTTTTTGAATGGCTTGTGAAGATAGCATTGCGTGTCGCACTTCGCTGATTGGTCTGGCTGACGGTAAGAATGACCAGGGCTAGTGTCAGCTATACCGAGACCCATGTCGATGAATTTACAGCTGCTGCCCGAGTGTGCGGTCTACCTTATTCGCAATTTTCACGTCTCTGTAAATGTCAATTCATAAAAATGGCCGCCCAGAGATACTTGGAAGCATCGAGTGTGGTGCCAGTAAACTTCAAAGCAAACTTCAGATGCCCAAAGTTTTGGCGCGGGTGAACGACGACACGGATACATCTGGCCATGGTATGTACCCAGACCACATGCGAGGCTCGGTTTGCATTTTGCATGAGCTCCTGCAGAGCCGCCTGCCCATGCCTGAAGCATTCCCTGTGATGCCGCCAGCCAGCTGGGCTCCTGCGCCACCTACGTCAGCTGCGCCAAATTTCACGTCAGTTTGGAGTATGGCAGGCGGGCTGAAGTGGGAGCATTTCTGTTTGCGCAACCCCGATAAGCCACATTTTTCGTAGCCCTACAGTAGTAATGGGATGCATCAGTACTTTGTACCAGGCTGACTCGCGTGTCATATTGGCTGGTGTTATTCTGGAAATCGCTAAACATGGAAGGGGTTTGTAAATGTTTGGGTTCCCAGTGTTGTCAGAGTCTGGCCTGATTACCAACACGGAGTCTGGTGGCTTGTAAACAATTGGTGCCAAGGGTGTCGCGTGACGAATCTAGGATTTCAATGCCCTCAAGCAGAAATGTTCAGCAAAAACCTCGGAAGCACAACCCCAAACACAAACGCGTCCGCCATACCTTCCGCATATTCCGCAAACCTCAAGGTCCAGCTGGCAAGCCAGACATTTTCCCACAAGCCAGTTTCACCCCCCTGCCCAAGCGCCTGGCTCACACCCAGGCCTTGATTTCATCCCGCAAGCAGACCAGATTTACATTTGGGGGAGGGCAACACGCAAACTCCTCGCTTGGTTTGCACGCCCCGCCAGGGTTTGCGCTCATGGGGGGGTGTAAACCACTGGCGCGCGGCGGAAGAAAGGGAGATTCTCCCCCCCCGGCCCGGACCCCAATTTTGCCCTCTAGCTGGCGCTTTCGGACGTCTGTCTGGCGTCTGTTTTTGGTCGGGGATTGGGGGAAAGCTCGGCTGAGCAAGCCTTTGCTCGGCTGAGCTGGCGGAGGAGGGACAGGCAACGCAAGCGCAACAATCGATGGATGGGTTTGGTGTTGGCTTTCCCCTCTGCTGCTGCTTCTTCTTACTCTTCAGTCTAAGAATACTATTTCGTGCGGAATGTCCTAGTCACATGTCTTTTGCCAAGTAAGCGTCCTAGAGCGCCAAATTTTCTTCGTTCTTTCAAAATAGCTCACCGAGAAGTTATTGTTTAGAAGTTGTGTTTGGGGATTTCTTTCCTGCAATGAATCCATGTTTGACGGTAAATTAGCTCCCGCGTACTATCAACAGGTTAGGGTTTTCACCGTATTGTTGTCTCTTCTAGTCCACTTTTTACGAGCCGAAATCTTCGTGGGATTTTTCGCTTTCCTCCGCCGAACTGAGCGGATGGCCGTTAACTCCTGGCAATGGGTTCTTGCGGCTTTTGAGATGTACGACAGCGTCGAGCTTGAAGATGAAGGTCTGTTTTCAAGCAGAGGCGAAAGCGCGGATTGGGGTTTGTCAACTTCTCCGAGCCGGTCGATTTCAAGAAACCGCAAGACTGTTTCACCATCGAAATCTATGGCGTCGTCGGACGATTGCAAGACTCTGGAGGTTCTGTTTTCTACAAGCGAAACTTGCAATGGCAAATGCGAGAAAAAAGATTCGTTGGCGGAGCTGACAGCTACGGAGGAGGTCATAATGAACTTCTTGGAAAGGTCAACGCTCGCGCAAGAACCCAACCAGATTGACGACCCAGTCGCTGTGTTTCCGCAATGCGTGTGGCCGCTGATTGCTTACCAACAAGCCATGGTTGCAGGTTTCTGGTTGCGGATCTTCAGATTTCTCATTCCTGCAAGAAAGAAGCTTTCGGAGGACCGGATTCGTCCTGCAGACGCGGAACAACCATCCTGCGACCAACAGGACTTCCCAATAATAAGCGCTTCGGATGCGACTTCAACTGACGTAAATGCGAACTGCATCGTCTGGAGCGCTCCGCGTGGCGGCGAAACGCCAGTCGCAGCATCAGCATCGGCAGAAGCAGATTCGGACGATGCGTCGTCAGACCATCTCTTCACCGTTCCGCAGCTGGCGCCGCTCAGTCCGTCCGACGAGCCGTTCGATTCATCCAAGCTGCTTCCTCCGCTTCGTTCCGTCCACTTTAACCGCAAGACTCTCGTTCTCGATTTGGATGAAACCCTCATTCATTCCGTCTTCACGCCAATCATGAACGCCGATTTCGTCATCAGCTTGGACGTTGACGGCCGCCTGACTACTATTTACGTCCATAAGCGTCCCGGAGTGGAGGAGTTTCTCCGCGCCGTCGCGCAGGTCTACGAGGTGGTTGTTTTCACCGCGAGCATGGCGGGTTACGCGAACGCGCTCGTGGATCTTCTAGATCCGCAGCGCTGCCTCGTTCACCACCGTCTTTTCCGGGATTCCTGCATCTGGTGGAGGAATAGCTACGTCAAGGATCTGACGATGCTCGGAAGGGACCTGACGAAGACCATGATTGTTGATAACAGCCCGCTCTCCTACGCTTTTCAGCCGGAGAACGGCATTGCGATACCCTCGTACTACGATGAGCAGGGGGACCGTGAGCTCGCGAAGCTTGTCCCCGCTTTAATGAAGCTCGCTACGGTCGAGGATGACGTCCGGCTCCACCTTGCGGGGCTTGGGAGCGTCCATGTGGGGTGATGATAAAATCAGCGGATGCTGATACTTGTATTGTGAAAGACACGCCATGGCATGGCACCGCAGCTCACAGCTGCTGTAACTAATAAGGAGCGCCAGCATGCGTGCTGCTATGCTCTCACCTAAGCGCTCTGCTTCCTTGTTATACGCTAGTAACTTCTCTTTCTGTGCCTTTTTCTCACTAGTTCAGCCCCTCTCGTCCATCTCTTGTTTCGCATATACTTCAATGCTCGTTTATGGCTGCGTGGCAGCATGAGCTCCACTGTGCGTGGAGCTGGTATTTGCTCTCATACATGTGTAGGTATTTTCTGTGCAACCCTTTTCTTTCGCTTGCTTCCTTGAATGTGGGAGCTTACTTTGTATTGCAGACTGAATGTAGCACTATGATCGTCTGCTGTACTTTTTTCCTTGTAATAATGAGAAAATGCAGCTCTTTATTCAAGCCAGGGTCTCATGTAAGCTAAGGAGCCATCGATTGCAAAGCACTTGAAGCTAGGTAACCAAGTTAGTGCTGGCGAAGTTGTCTCTGGTTGGGTTGGAAACTCAGCTTGCGTCACTGCCCCAAAAGCAATTGCACAACACTTTTGGGTACTCGAGACTTTCGATGAGTTGGGTGCATTTTAGGTTTGGCTCCGAACCAAGTTTCCAAGCCTAGATGGTTCGGTTGCCCCCAGCGATTTACTTTCGCTTCGCACCCCTCGCTTCACCCCACTTCGAACCTTACACCTAGCCAACCAATCAAAGCCACTTTCACCAACAATTGCAAAGCACTTGTAGTACGTGAGACCCTGGCTTTAAGGTAGTGTCCTACACTTCCGTGAGATTGAATTTGATAGTGCGCTGTGCGCAGCGAGACAAGATTCCGAAATAAGGCTAGTCTGATAGGAAGCCGTAGGAACAATTTTCGTGTCATGTCTTATTGTGCTACTTGAATGAAATGCCCCCCCCACTCCTGACACTTAGGGTACATTCCGCTCTGGACATGTCCCAATCGGGTGTACCGCTCCGAACCGAACTAAACCAGAGACGCTAAAATTTTGACAATGTTTGAAACTAGGGTGTAATTCGGTGTCGGTAATAAGATGCAGTGCGGTGGAATCGATTGGGACATGTACGATTGGGACATGTCCAGAGCGGAATGTACTCTAGTGTGCTGTGTCCCGCGGCATCCTGCTGGTTCAATCAATGATATGCAAACAGGAGTTAGCTAATAAACAGAATTGTCAACACGGCAGACTCAGTCTCAGCAGCCTAGAACAGAGCACTAGCTCAACATAGAGCGCAGCATTCAACAAAAGGAACAGTTGATAGTTGGTTCTTCAGTTGTCCGTATTTGCCACTGAAAGTTACTTCTGAAAGGGATTCGGTGCTGCAGCTGACCCAGAAGGCTTTCCAAACGTTGCCATCGTGCCCGTTGGGTTTGCAAAGTTGAATGGTGGAGGGGAAGGGAAGGGAGACGGCTGCCCAGCAGCAGCAGAAGCAGTAGCTACAGAGGAGCTGTCTGGGCCCTTCTGGGAGAAAGGGCTGGAGGGAGTTGCAGCTGCGAAAGAGAATGCTGGTGCTGACGATCCGAATGCTGGCACTGACGATGCAAATGCTGGCGCTGACGATGCGATTGCTGGCGCTGACGATGCGAATGCTGGCGCTGACGATGCAAATGCTGGTCCAGATGATGCAAAGATGCTTGATGCCGATGGTTGGCCTGGTGCAAATGCAGCCTGGCTTGAATGCGCTCCTGTTGCTGCGGTTTTCGTATCAGGAAAGGGCCTGTAATGTAACCAGCACCAGAAAAAAAAAGGGGGTTTTCTATGAGGCCCCATACAAAGAGAAATGCACTGTTGACACGAGAGAAGAGGAAGTGAAGGAAGGGAAAGTGTTGCATTGCCTTCACAAAGAAAACCAACTGCAGCAACAGCAGCCTTCAATAAGCTTCCAGCATAACTCTGCCATGAGCTCACCTGAACACACCAACCGAGTCCTTGAAAACTGCAGCAGGGTCGTTGCTGCTGCCGCTGTTAGGTGCTGCTGGTGGTGAAATGACCCACGCCCTTGGGCTTACCAAACATGCTGCGTTTCTGGTAACCAGGTAACACTGCCATGAGCTCACCTGAACACACCAACCGAGTCCTTGAAAGCTGCAGCAGGCTCGTTGCTGCTGGTGGTAAAATGACCCACGCCCTTGGGTTTGCCGAACGAAGGCACCCCACCTCCACCAAACAAAGCGCTTCCTCCTGATTGGCCGCCTCCTCCGAACAAACTGCTTCCCGAACCAAACAACGGGGCTGCCGAACCAGCAGGACCGGCAGCAGCAGCAGCAGCAGCAGCAGAGGTTGTTGCAGCAGCAGCAGAACCAGCAGCAGCAGCACTCAGCCCTTTATCACCAGCCCCACCACTCAACCCTCCAGCTGCCCCACTCCTAGCCCCCGCCTCCTGTGACTGTGTAGTATCAGGCTCTGAACCGTCTTGAGACACCCGCATGCCAAACAGGGGGTTCTGATGCAACACCTGCGCATTTCCCAGGGGTACTGGCGCTGTTGCCCCTCTTGCTAAGGGCGCTGGGCCGGCGCCTACGGGCCCTTGCTGCCCGAACTGCCCGGATCCGAAAAGTTTGCGCTGGAGCGGGAGCTCTGATTGGCCGGGAGCAGTGGGAGCAGTGGGGGCAGCGGTGGTAGTTGAAGTGAAAGGAGGAGGGGAGACGGGAGCTGGGGGAAAGGAGAAGAGCGACAATGGCTGCTGCTGCTGCTGCTGCTGCTGCTGCTGTTGAGATTTGCTAGAGGATTTCGGGAACGAGAGGGGGGAGTTTGAGAGGAATGCTGCACCCCCCGCGCCCCCAAGTATGGGAGAGCCAAAGTGGGGAGAGGGAGCAGCTTTGGGAGAGGAGGTCTTGGCAGAGGGCGACTGAACTGACTGCATGGGCTTGCGTGGGAAAGCTGTGGTGGGAAGACCTTTGGAGGATGCTTTGGGATGGTTCTTGGTGGCTGGTTTGACTGGTTCTGTTCTGGCTGGGATGGCTGTGGTGGTTGTGGTGGGGAAGGCAGAGGGTTCGCCGTGTGCTTGGACGATCTGCTGGCGCTCAGAAGGAGCGATGAGTTGGAGTACAGACTCCTGGGAAAAGGGGAAGACGGGGCCAAAGTAAGGGAGAGAAAGGGGGAAAGCGGGGGGTGATGGTGGTGGGGAAGGCAGCGGGTTCGCCGTGTGCTTGGATGATCTGCTGGCATTCGGACAGAGCGATCAGTTGCAGCACAGACTCCTGAGGAAGGGGGGGAAGATGGGGGTGTGCAGGGAAAAGGGGAGAAAGACGGGTTGGAAAAAGGACGGGGGAGAGGGGGTGGGCGGGGGAGAAAAGCATAGGGGGGAAGAAGTTAGTGTGCCAACACGAATGCAACGGACAGAGCCTGTCCCGAGGTCTATGGCTTTGATTTGAACCATTATAAAAACACTACATTGCCCTTTCAACAGACACGTACCAGCAGCCTTATCCTCTTCTCGCGCAGCTGAACTGTCAATCCCTTCGCCCCCCTCCTCCGTTTTCTTGTTCCTTTCGCTGCATCATCACCAGCACCAGAAGAAGCACCAGCTGTAGCATCCATGGGACTTCCTCCTTCCTTCTCTTCTTCATCCTCACTCCCTCCCTCCTGCTGCCCCTCCTCATCCTCGTTATTGGCCTCTTCACTCTCCTGCTCTGCCTCTACTGCTGCCTCTATAGCCCACACTTGCTTGTGCGCTGATAGTGCTGCCTTGTAACGAGCCCTCTGCAAGACAAAGAAATGGGGAAGAGGGAAAAGGAAAAGAATTAGTGTGGATGGAAACACAAAGAATGGCACACACCCCGATAAAACCAAGACACAAAAGCTCACCTCCACATGGAAGAGAACGAGAAGGGTGCCACACGCCCCCTCTGGTTGCTGCGCCGTGCGGGCTAACAAGCAGCGTTGCAGCACCGCCCCCTCCCTGCCTCTCCTTGCATGAGCCCAGATGACCCCAGATGACCCGCTACACACACAAGCTCACCTCCACATGGAAGAGAACGAGAAGGGTGCCACACGCCCCCTCTGGTTGCTGCGCCGTGCGGGTTAACAAGCAGCGTTGCAGCACCGCCCCCTCCCTGCCTCTCCTTGCATGAGCCCAGATGACCCCAGATGACCCGCTACACACACAAGCTCACCTCCATATGGAAGAGAACGAGAAGGGTGCCACACGCCCCCTCTGGTTGCTGCGCCGTGCGGGCTAACAAGCAGCGTTGCAGCACCGCCCCCTCCCTGCCTCTCCTTGCATGAGCCCAGATGACCCCAGATGACCCGCTACACACACAAGCTCACCTCCACATGGAAGAGAACGAGAAGGGTGCCACACGCCCCCTCTGGTTGCTGCGCCGTGCGGGCTAACAAGCAGCGTTGCAGCACCGCCCCCTCCCTGCCTCTCCTTGCATGAGCCCAGATGACCCCAGATGACCCGCTACACACACAAGCTCACCTCCACATGGAAGAGAACGAGAAGGGTGCCACACGCCCCCTCTGGTTGCTGCGCCGTGCGGGCTAACAAGCAGCGTTGCAGCACCGCCCCCTCCCTGCCTCTCCTTGCATGAGCCCAGATGACCCCAGATGACCCGCTACACACACAAGCTCACCTCCACATGGAAGAGAACGAGAAGGGTGCCACACGCCCCCTCTGGTTGCTGCGCCGTGCGGGCTAACAAGCAGCGTTGCAGCACCGCCCCCTCCCTGCCTCTCCTTGCATGAGCCCAGATGACCCCAGATGACCCGCTACACACACAAGCTCACCTCCACATGGAAGAGAACGAGAAGGGTGCCACACGCCCGCTCTGGTTGCTGCGCCGTGCGGGTTAACAAGCAGCGTTGCAGCACCGCCCCCTCCCTGCCTCTCCTTGCATGAGCCCAGATGACCCCAGATGACCCGCTACACACACAAGCTCACCTCCACATGGAAGAGAACAAGAAGGGTGCCACACGCCCCCTCTGGTTGCTGCGCCGTGCGGGCTAACAAGCAGCGTTGCAGCACCGCCCCCTCCCTGCCTCTCCTTGCATGAGCCCAGATGACCCCAGATGACCCGCTACACACACAAGCTCACCTCCACATGGAAGAGAACGAGAAGGGTGCCACACGCCCCCTCTGGTTGCTGCGCCGTGCGGGTTAACAAGCAGCGTTGCAGCACCGCCCCCTCCCTGCCTCTCCTTGCATGAGCCCAGATGACCCCAGATGACCCGCTACACACACAAGCTCACCTCCACATGGAAGAGAACGAGAAGGGTACCACACGCCCCCTCTGGTTGCTGCGCCGTGCGGGTTAACAAGCAGCGCTGCAGCACCGCCCCCTCCCTGCCTCTCCTTGCATGAGCCCAGATGACCCCAGATGACCCGCTACACACACAAGCTCACCTCCACATGGAAGAGAACAAGAAGAGTGCCGCACGCCCCCTCTGGCTGCTGAGCCGTGCGGGTTAACAAGCAGCGCTGCAGCACCGCCCCCTCCCTGCCCCTCCAGGGGAACGCCAGCACCTCGGGAACTGCCTGGTGCCTCACTGCTAGCCAGAAGAGCTCCGATACAAGCACACCCACCGCTTCCGTATAAGCACCCTTGGCTGCTTCGTTATCAGCACTCCCAACAGTAGCAGCAACAGCGGCATCGGAACCATCAGCAGCATCAGCAGAGTCAGAAGCGTCAGCAAGTGGGTGAGGAGAGGAGGGGTCGTTGATACTTAGTTGATTGCAGTAGGCTCTAAGGTACAGGAAAGCCTCTGTTAAGAGCCGATTCTCTATAAGCACTCGCAGCGCAGTCACTGCTTCCTCCAGAGGCACGGCCAGGTCCGGGAAAACGGGGGTTGCCGAGCCTGGGGTGCTGCTGGCTTGGAAGATTGCCGGGCCTGGGCTGCAGGCTCGGAGGATCTGGAGCGCTGGCTCGGGCTTGCCTCGTTCGATTAGGACTCGAGCGATCCGGGGATGGATGGGAGGGGCCGAGGAGGAGGAGGAAGGGGAGGCAGAGGAGAGGGAGATGAGATGAGGTATCAGTGAGCAAGCCTCCTGCAGACAATGAGATGAAAAGAGGAGAAAGAAATGGGAGAGATTAGGACGAATGGAAAGAAAAAGGGAGGAAGAAAGACAACGTGAGGTATCAGGGAACACGCCTCCTGTATTGAAATCACTTTCAGACGTGAGGTATCAGGGAACATGTCTCCTGCAGACAGTGCGAAGACGAGACGAGAAAGGGGACGTAAGATGAAGAGGCACGTAGGCAAGCAAGCACCCACTCACTTCTGCCCCTCACCTTTCATACCTCCTCAGTTTGCTAATTCAGCAGCACCATCATCACCATCGTCTCCACCGCATGCCCACTGCGCATGTCCAAGTAAGCACACATGCGCCCACATGCATCATCATCAAACACATACCTTCAATCCCTCCTCTGTGCCTTCATCCAGCAGCACCATCACCATCGTTTCAACCACGTGCCCATCACCCACGTCCATGCTCGCCCCAAAGTCAGCACCAACCCTGTATAGTGCATCCTTGCTCGCACACACACCCCACAAACACTCACCTCTAAACCCTCCTGACTCTGTTCATCGAGACTCACCATCACCATCACCATCGTCTCCACCACGTGCCCATCCCCCACGTCCATGCTCGCATGCAAGCACAGAGACTCCCATGCACCTGGAACAGGCTCACCTCGAGCCCATCTGCCGTGCATTCATCCACCAGCACCATCACCATTGTTTCAACCACGTGCCCATCCCCCACGTCCATGCTCGCTCCAAAGTCCTCCACCAGCCCCCGCCACCGCTGCTGTCCTTCACTCTGCCCTCCCTGGTAGAAGCGGTCAATGAGATAATACAGGAACTGGGGGAATAACAGGAAGGGAGTGACGAGGGAGCGAGGAGAAGGGTAAAAAGAGGAGGTTACTCAGTCCTCCGCCAATCGCCACCGCTGCTGCCCTCGCTCTTCCCTCCCTGGTAGAAGCGATCAATTAGGTATTAGAGGAGCTGGGGCAGGAGGGGAATGGTGAGGGAGCAAGGAGAACGGTACTTAGTCTCCACCAGTCACAGCCCTCGCCACCGCTGCTGCTGCCCCTCGCTCTTCCCTCCCTGGTAGAAGCGACCGATGAGGTAGCACCTGGAGCAGGAGGGAGAAGAAACGGAAGATGGGGAGAAACGGGAGAAACATCAAATTAAAAAAAAGGATAATAACAAGTAGAATAATAAACAAAAAAAAATCCAAACAAACCAAGAACACTCACGATTGCTTTCTTGGCCAAAACTAGATCAGCCCCCGCCTCCAGGAACAAAAAATCCACAGCTGCCCGGAAATTCTCCGGCGGGTATTGAAACCCCACCGCTGCTGCTCCTCCTGCTCCACCCACTAACCCAGGGCTCCCTCCCTGCAGCAGAAACTTCCCGGAAGCAGCAGGCGGTGCGGTGGGTACCGGCTGTTTGAGAGGCAGCAAATCAAGCTGGTCGCAACTCAACAGCGAGGGGGAATCAGATGCAACACTTGCGCTCTCCTTACTGCCTTCTCGGCTGCTTTCCCTGAGGCTATCTATTGCTTCCTCGATAAAAAGCTTCCCTTTCTGCTGCTGCTGCTGCTGCTGCTGCTCCTTTGCCCCCCCGCCCCCCCCTCCCCCTCCCCCACTTACGCCCCCGCCTCTTCCCCCTGCCCCTGCCCCAAGCACTGTGCCAGCAGCGCCAGCAGCAGCAGATACGTCAAGGAACTCCGGCCAGGCCGTCTCGTTTGCCGCCTGCTTTCTCTGGCGAATCACGGAGCGCCACGTAGCGTGCGACGAGTGGCGGGGAGGGAGGCCCTCAAAGAAACGGTTTTTGGCAGCCCACTGCATCACGTCTAGATGCTGTGTTGTGGAGAAGGGGAGGAGGGGCAGACATGGTGGAAAGGGGGGGGAAGGGGAGGAGGGGCAGACATGGTGGAGAGGGGGAGGCAGGCAGGCAGACAAGCAGACAGGAGAAGTGAAACGGGGCATAGAGGGTGGGAAGGGGAAGAAAGAGTGAGTAGGGAGAGAGAAGTGAGGAGGAGGAGGAGGGAAGTGAGGTGGAAGAGGGAAGTGAGGAGGAGGAGGAGGGAAGTGAGGAGGACGAGGGAGGTGAGGAGGAAGAGGGAAGTGAGGAGGAAGAGGGAAGTGAGGAGGAAGAGGGAAGTGAGGAGGAAGAGGGAAGTGAGGAGGAAGAGGGAAGTGAGGAGGAAGAGGGAAGTGAGGAGGAAGAGGGAAGTGAGGAGGAAGAGGGAAGTGAGAGAGACAGGTGGAGAAAGGCCCTCCGAAGAATTGTTTCTTGGAAGCCCACTGCATCACGTCTAATGCTGTGGAGTGGAGAAAGAGTGAGGTAAAAGAGAGAAGTTCTAGCACCTGTCTCCCACTCATGCCCCTTGCGCCCTTCCTCCCCCCTCCTTCCATCCCTCCCGTGTCTCCCACCCTTTCCCCCATCTCCCACCCCTCCCGTCTCTCTCACCCCTTCCCCCTCCCCCACCTCAAACGCTCTCACCTGGGACGCTCTTGCAACCGCTTCCGCCAGCCGCCCAGCCTCCCACTCATACCCCTTGCGCCCCTCCGTTCCCCTCTCCCACCCCCTCCCCTCCCCCTCTCCCACCCCCTCCCCTCCCCCTCTCCCACCCCTTCCCCGTTTTCCCCCACTTTCCCCCTTCCAATGCTCTCACCTGGGATGCTCTTGCAACCGCTTCTGCCAGCCTCCCACTCATACCCCTTGCGCCCCTCCGTTCCCCTCTCCCACCCCCTCCCCTCCCCCTCTCCCACCCCTTCCCCTCCCCCTCTCCCACCCCTTCCCCGTTTTCCCCCACTTTCCCCCTTCCAATGCTCTCACCTGGGATGCTCTTGCAACCGCTTCTGCCAGCCTCCCACTCATACCCCTTGCGCCCCTCCGTTCCCCTCTCCCACCCCCTCCCCTCCCCCTCTCCCACCCCTTCCCCGTTCTCCCCCTCTTCCCCCTTCGAATGCTCTCACCTGGGATGCTCGTGCAACCGCTTCCGCCAGCCTCCCTGCCTGCCACTCATGCCCCTGGCGCCCCTCCTTACCCCCGTTCCCCCCACTCCCCCCTCTCCCCCCATCCGCCCCCCTAAACCCTCCAATGCTCACCTGAGAGGCTCGTGCAACCGCTTCCGCCAGCCTCCCAGCCTCCCATTCATGCCCCTTGCGCCCCTCCCCGCTTCCGCCGCTCCCCCCTCGCCCCACCTCCGCCTCTCCCTGCTGCATCTGCGCCTGCTGCTGCGCCCGGGAGTCGTCTGGGCCCTGCAGTGTTGCCAGCACCTGAGAAATCCCCTGCAGGCGCATGGCCAGGCAGGTGGCCTCATCCATACGACGATCCGTGATACCAGAGGCGTCTGGAAGAGCGGGGGGGGATTGGGGGGTGGGAGAGGGAAGTGAATGGGATGAGAATAGAATACGGAGGAGGAGAGGGAGTGGGCTGTGCGGGCAGGCAGGTGGCATCATCCATGCGACAATCCGTGATACCAGAGGCGTCTGGATTGAGGGGGCGAGCGGGGGGAGGAGGGTGGAACAGAGGGTGGTTAAGGGGGGAGAGAGAGAAATCCCCTGCAGGCGCATGGGCAGGCAGGTGGCATCATCCATGCGACAATCCGTGATACCAGAGGCGTCTGGATTGAGGGGGGGGATGGGGAAGCGGGATGGGGGAGTTGGGGAGGGAGGGAGAGCACGAGCCTGGGGTCCAGCAGCAGGAAGAGCACCGAGTCGCTGGAAACCCACACATAACCACCCATAACCGCACAGAATCGCATAGAAGAGCACAGGACTGCAGAAAACCGCACAGAGCCACCCACATAGATCTCTAAGTGTCCGTTTTATTCCGGCGAAGGTCCTGTGCGCCAACTCCAGCACGAGCCAGCCAGGGCTCCAGCAGCACCGCCAGCACCGCACACACCCGACACAGAACCACAAAGAACCGCACAGGACCGCACAGGACTGCACTCACAGAGGTCCCTGAGCGTCCTCTTAATCCCGGCGAAGGTCCTCTGCGCCCAGTCAAGCACGAGCCTAGGGTCCAGCAGCAGGGAGAGCACTCCACACGTTGACACAGAACAACACAGAACCGCACAGAACGCCACTCACAAAGGCCCCTGAGCGTCCTCTTAATCCCGGTGAAGATCCTCTGCGCCCAGTCGAGCACGAACCTGGGGTCCAGCAGCAGGGAGAGCACCGGGTCGCTGGAGACCGCTGCTGCTCTCAGATGGAACCACACAAAACCGTACAGGACCGCACAGAATCGCACTCACAGAGGTCCCTGAGGGTTCTTTTTATCCCGGTGAAGGTCCTCTGCGCCCAGTCGAGCACAAGCCTGGGGTCCAGCAGCAGGGAGAGCTCCGCACATACAGAACACCACACAACCGCACAGAACCGTACAGAACCGCACTCACATAGATCCCTGAGCGTCCTTTTTATCCCTATGAAGGTCCTCTGGGCCCAGTCGAGCACAAGCCTGGGATCCAGCAGCAGAGCCAGCACTGGGTCACTGGAGACTGCTGCTGCACTCAGATGGAACCACACAAAACCGTACAGGACCGCACAGAATCGCACTCACAGAGGTCCCTGAGGGTTCTTTTTATCCCGGTGAAGGTCCTCTGCGCCCAGTCGAGCACAAGCCTGGGGTCCAGCAGCAGGGAGAGCTCCGCACATACAGAACACCACACAACCGCACAGAACCGTACAGAACCGCACTCACATAGATCCCTGAGCGTACTTTTTATCCCTATGAAGGTCCTCTGGGCCCAGTCGAGCACAAGCCAGGGATCCAGCAGCAGAGCCAGCACCGGGTCACTGGAGACTGCTGCTGCACTCAGATGGAACCACACAAAACTGTACAGGACCGCACAGAATCGCACTCACAGAGGTCCCTGAGGGTTCTTTTTATCCCGGTGAAGGTCCTCTGCGCCCAGTCGAGCACAAGCCTGGGGTCCAGCAGCAGGGAGAGCTCCGCACATACAGAATACCACACAACCGCACAGAACCGTACAGAACCGCACTCACATAGATCCCTGAGCGTCCTTTTTATCCCTATGAAGGTCCTCTGGGCCCAGTCGAGCACAAGCCTGGGATCCAGCAGCAGAGCCAGCACCGGGTCACTGGAGACTGCTGCTGCACTCAGATGGAACCACACAAAACCGTACAGGACCGCACAGAATCGCACTCACAGAGGTCCCTGAGGGTTCTTTTTATCCCGGTGAAGGTCCTCTGCGCCCAGTCGAGCACAAGCCTGGGGTCCAGCAGCAGGGAGAGCACCGGGTCACTGGAAACTGCTGCCTCGTCCATGCACACCTCCTCCACGTCTGTTAGCGGGGGGGTGGGGGAGGAGAGGGGGTCAGGAATAGGGGAAAGATGGGTTGAATGAGAGGCAGGACGCAGCGACAGCACCGGGTCACTGGAAACTGCTGCCTCGTCCATGCACACCTCCTCCACGTCTGTTAGCAAAGGACGGGGGTGTGGAAAGGTGGGATGAGAGGAGGGGAATGAGCGTGGCAGGACGGCCGGCACTGGGTCGCTGGGGACGGCTGCCTCGCCCATCCATGCACACCTCCTCCACGTCTGTTGTGGTGGGGGGGTGTGGTGAGGGGTGAGGGGGAAGAGACCAGGGTGAGTGGAGGGCCAAGGGAAGCAGACAGCACTGGGTCGCTGGGGACGGCTGTCTCGTCCATCCATGCACACCTCCTCCACGTCTGTCGTGGTGGGATGGAACGGGAAGAGGGGAGCAAGGAGGAAGTGACACAGGATAGTGCGGGACGGAGGGCAAACAGCCGAGGGAGGGAGGGAGGGATAAGGCAGTGCTTGGGTTGCTTCCATCCATTGAGATCGAGCTGACTTTTGAGTTGACTCAAAAGTCAGCACAGCCGAGGGAGGGAGGGAGGGATAGGGCAGTGCTTGCACTGCTTGCATCGAGTTGCTGGGTTGAGTGCGGTGACAACAGGGGCCTGCCAGCAACTCACAGTGGCAGATGAGAGTGACAAGCCCGCGATCCAACGCAATGTCAAAGAGGGCGAACAGCCTCCGCACGTCCATGGGGCACCCTTGGGCGTCCGCCCACAGCCCCCTACTGCTCCGGCCTCCCATACCCCTCCCTTACCAGCCCCACTCACAGTGGCAGATGAGGGTGACGAGCCCACGATCCAGAGCAACGTCAAAAAGGGCAAACAGCCGCAGGGGCGCCGGTTGGGTCAACGACGGGAAGGCTTATTGGAAACTCACAGTGGCAGATGAGGGTGACGAGCCCACGATCCAGCGCAATGTCAAAGAGGGCAAACAGCCGCCGCACGTCCATGGGACACCCCTGAGCGTCCACCCCCAGGCTCCCAATTCCCCCTCCGCTTCCCCCCGCTCCCCCTGCTGCTCCGCCTGCTGCGCCTCCCCATACCCCATCCTTAACCACGTCTTTGAGAGGGCTGACAAGGCCGGCGTCTACACACGCGTCGTATAAACGGATGTGAATTCGCTCCCCTGATTGCCGCGCGAACCCCCCTCCCCCTGCTTCTCCCCCTGCAGCAGAAGCAGGGGCGCCGATGGGGCAGCGGCAGACGGGGCAGGCGGAGCAGCGCTGGGCGCACTCCCCGCAGAGGCAGGCGTGGCGGCAGGGCAGCAGGCAGTGGTGCACGGTGCGCCCACACGGCCTCAGCTCGCGCATGGCTCGGCACCTCTCCGCTCTGGCTTCTAAGGGGAGCGCCCTTGCTGGGGTACTTGCCAGGCGCAGCAGCACCTCCTGGTTTAGGGTTTCAGGTTTGGGGTCAGGGTTTGGGGGGCGGGAGGGGGAGGAGGGGAGGGGGGAAGGGAGGGGAGGGGGGAAAGGAAGGGAGGAGGAAGCGAAGAGAGAGGGGGGTGAAGGGAAGGTGTGGCGGCAGGGCAGCAGGCAGTGGTGCACGGTGCGCCATGGCTCGGCACCTCTCTGCCCTCGCTTCTAGGGGGAGGGCCCGCGCGGGGGTAGCAACCAGGCGCAGCAGCACTTCCTGCTCGGGAGGGAGGGTGGGGATGGTTGAGTCCAGGGCAGGCAGTGGTGCACGGTGCGCCCACACGGCCTCAGCCCGGGCATGGCACGGCACCGCTCCGCCCTCGCCTCCAGAGGCAGGGCCCTGGCAGGGGTAGCAGCCAGGCGCAGCAGCACCTCCTGTTTGGGGAGCGGGGGGAAGATGGGGGTGGGGAGGAATGGGGGGGATAGCATGGCGCGGCACCGCTCTACCCTCACCTCTAAGGGGAGCGCCCTGGCAGGGGTCACAGCCAGGCGCAGCAGCACCTCCTGGGGGAGGGGAAGGGGAAGATGGGGGTGGAGAGGAATGGGGGGGATCGCATGGCGCGGCACCGCTCCGCCCTCGCCTCCAGCCAGAGGCAGCGCCCTAGCGGGGGTCCCCCCCAGCCGCACCAGCACCTCCTGTTCCGGGGGGGAGGGAGGGGGGGGGATGGGGAGGGAGGCCTATGGGGGGAAGCGCCGCGAGGCAGGGCCCTCGCAGGGGGGGGGGAATCGTCAGGCGCAGGCACCCCCTGCTTGAGGAGGTAAAGGAGGGGCGGAGAGATGGAGGGGAATGGTAGCATTCCCCAGGCCAGACGTGCTGAACTGAACGAATGCTAGTGATTTCAGAGATTCATCAGGCTGGTAACATTCTCCGCCCGATTAGCTCGGAGAGTTTCTCAGCAGGATAATAAAATCACGTGTATGAAGAAGTGTTTGAGACGTCTCAAAACACTTCTTCATACACGTAGCTCGGAGAGTTTCTCAGCAGGATAATAGCATTTCTCAGGCTGGTGGCATTCCGAGAATGGAGTACTACCAAGGTGCAAGTTTTAGGGTACATTCCGGGCTCTGGTCAGACCACTGGTCAACAACGCCTGTACAGCTTACAATTAGCACAAATGGTGATAATTAGCTACGATTTAGGGTCACAAGCACGACTGGCCGGAAGTTTGACCAGAGCCCGGAATGCACCCTTAGACCCCTCGGATGTCATTGATCGCATACAGTCGGAATTACATCGCGTCGCGATTCGATACAGTGTAACTGCCCTTCGATTCCCTCTTAACAGCTGCCTCGCTATTCGACACAGTGTACCTGCCGTACCTTCCATACCTGCTGACGGCGGCGGCATTGACGTGGAAACAAGATCTCCCTAGGGTAATTCTCAACAGTGTACCTGCCGTACCTGCTGACGGGAGTGATTTTAAATTTGGTGCACCCTGTCGTTCCTAGAATAACGCGATAAAACATACTCGCTACGGTAACTCGTTACAAGGTACTGTCCGTACTGAGGGAAACTCTAAACAGTGCTCCTGCCGTACCTGCTGACGGCGGTCCATGATATCTGATCAGGACCGGATAATCGAGAATCCAACGGGTGGACGTTAGATCGAGGATCAGCAGCCCGTACGATCCGACGATCAGCAGCCCGTCGACTATTCAATATCAACCGAATTTCCGCTCCGCGGCCAGTATGATGGTCGCGGCCAACACTCAACTCAATACAGCCGCTGAAGCTGAAGCTGGCGCGTTTACTTTACGAAACCTGTGTTGGGATTCAAACAACACAGCTGCCAGGAGTGGGTGTTGGAATCCCCCCTCTCAAAATAAAAAGCCGATAGTTTCTTTCGTAGAGGCACAATCGGTTTTGTGTGTTTTGGTCGGTTTCAATATCTTTTTTCGTGGTACAGTATGGTAGCAGCTCGCAGCACATACTGAGCCAGCTACTGAGGTTTGAAGCTGGTTACGATATGCTGCTGATTCGCTGACACCCTCTCGCGAATCACAAATCTATGTCGCGGTGGGAAAGTCTCTGGGACGCGATACTCGTCACAAGTTCACCCGTTAACAAGTGCTGCTCATGCTTTTCAGAGTACATAACACATTTGCAGTGTAACACCACCGAAGCAGCGACAATCGTAATCGGTTCATGCTCTTTCGCCATATTCGCTGACAACGTCGCGCAACTGTTTACATTCGCAACCGAACTGAATCAGAGCAGCAGGCAGCCGAGTACAGATCATTCCGAGATTCGGCTCTGTACGGAGCCTCCTAACGGCTCTAATTCCCGATCCAGACTAGAACTATAACTAAAATAGTCGATCACTGATCGGAGCCGACTCGCGGTTCTAATCGCAGCTATGACGGTCATTACCAGTGCGAGCGGCCTGCTGGCCATGCTCGACGAGGAGGAGCCGGCTCTCCGCGTGTACGCTCTCAAGAATCTAAATCTGCTCGTCGGCCAGTTCTGGGCCGAGATCTCCGCGAACATCTCCACCATGTAAGGACGTGTCCTCAGTCCCGTAAGTGCGTGAAATCCGCGGTCTTACTAATCTGCTTCTGCATCCAGACTCTAGTTTAGAGTTCGAGCTTCAGCCTGCGATTTTACCTTAGGTCATCTCAGGAAGGTTAGAAATTCCAGATCTGTGTTACAAATTCCCGATTTAGGTACCAGCTGCTACCAGAGACGATTGGCTTCGTAGCCTGGCACATCTGATTGGCTTGAAATCCTGACATACCGGTAGTTATAGCGGGGAATCGTGCAGTCATGTCATTAACCTTTACTAAGCGTCTCGACACTTTAGCAGCTAGCTTTTGCACTCCTCCCGTCGGCGACGGCGGATGTACGAGAATTGGATCCTCCCGACGGCGACGGCGGATGTACGAGAAATGGATTTTTGAGTGGATTGAATTCGTCGACCGTCAGTCACATAGGAGATGCGAAACGGCCAGTCGTTCCGATTGAGATTGCGGGTGGCTTGATCTCAAGCTCTAACTGTCTCGTGTCGCTTTTGTTCATACCCTTTTCCTTCGTTCGTAGTAGGCTGACCCGTATAAAGGTTTCGTTTTCAGAATTCAGGGTGAATCGAGCAGGATTCAAGTAGTTTCTAGCCTGCTAGCTCGTTAAACCGAAGGAATTCAGTGAATTTTCTAACATGGACAGCTCTTTTCCACGAAAACTCAACTTTCCTTGCGATCGTGAGGCGCAAGGTCGGACAACCTCTCCCTCGCTGGTGTGGTCATTATGGATCGGGAGTAGTAGAGCTTACTGCGCGACTTTCGGTTCATTATTCCATCATTTGTTGGATTCCATCACGCAGAGCCTCATAGGTTGTGACATTCGGTCGATTTTAATGTCATTCTGGGCAGTCAGTCGGTTCGATAGTACGGTGCAGGGCAGGTTGACTGATGTCATCCTGGGTAGACGGAATCTGTCAGGATTCGCTAAATCATAGATGTCAGACGGAAATTGTAGGTAGCTTAGGAATGTCTAGCGGGATTGACTTCGTAGATTGACTAGAAGAGTTTTTAAAGTTACAGATCGTGGGTATGGCTACTCACGCATCTTATTCCACGTCTAAGCTTCACGTCCTGCCTTTCAGCAGTGTAGCTAATGCGTTACTTGCTCTCATCCATTGTCGTTGTATATCAAGGGCCTTTTTTCCCATTCTTCATTCGGTTTACATTTGAAAGTCGTTTAAGACTGCCTGTTACGTCATCGTCCCATTTCCTTCTCTCTGTTTGAATCCCTTCAGTGAGAGCCTGTACGAGGATGAGACGTTCGACCATCGCGAGCTGGCAGCGCTTCTGGCCTCCAAGGTATTTATCTTCCGGTATTCCTAGGGTGTTTTTCCCAGGTCTTTTCCAGGTGTTTTTCAGGTGTTCCTCAGGCTCATGAGGTGTTCGTCAGGTGTTTTTCAGGTGTTCCTCAGGCTCATGAGGGAATCGTCAGGTGTTTTTCAGGTGTTCCTCAGGCTCATGAGGGAATCGTCAGGTGTTTTTCAGGTGTTCGTCAGGCCCATCAGGTGTTCGTCAGAGAGGTGCTTCTTCTGTGGACCTGTGTGGTTAAGGCTGTTTGGATAAACTTCGACCTTCGGTCCATGTGTGCACCCGTGCAGAGATGTTCTACTATCTGGGCGAGCTCACCGACTCTGAAGTGAAGTGCTCCCTCGGTGTGCTCAACGCTGTGTGAACCAACTTCAACTCTGCTCTTTCTTGTCCGTGCGTGCATGCACTCGTGCAGGTGTTCTACTATCTGGGCGAGCTCACCGACTCGCTCACATACGCCCTTGGCGCGGGGTCGCTGTTTGACGTCTCGGAGGACTCGGAATACGTGCAGACGCTCATTGGTGTGTGTGTGGGTGTGCGGTGTCTTTTGGTGGGATGGATGTTGCATGGTTGCGGGGGTGCATGGATGCAAGGGGTAATGGTCGAGTGAAGGGAGTCACCGACTCGCTCACGTCCGCCCTTGGCGTGGGGTCGCTGTTTGACGTCTTGGCGGACGCGGACTACGCACAGACTCTCATTGGTGCGTGCATGGGTGAATGGGTGCAAGGGCAGTGAGTGAATGCACTCGCGCAAGTGCGGGGTCGCTCTTTGACGTCTCGGAGGACTCGGAATACGTGCAGACGCTCATTGGTGCGTGCGTGGGTGCATGGGTGCTGGGTGCATGGGTGCGTGGGTACATGGGTGCATGGGTGCATTGACGAGTACATGGATCTTAGTTTCAGAACGTCATGCACTCCCATGACCCAATGTGCATCATCCCCCTGTCTCGGTGTGTTTCGTGCACCCCTCTGGCACTCCCTGCAGCCAAGTGCATTGACGAGTACATGGATCTGAGTGTCAAGCGCGCCGACTCCCATGACCCCGACGCCGACTACCTTGTCTTGTCCCCCTGTGTTCTTGTCCGTGTGTCTCAACTTGGCCCATGCACCACTCCCCCCTTGCAGCCAAGTGCATTGACGAGTACATGGATCTGAGTGTCAAGCGCGCCGACTCCCATGACCCCGACGCCGACTACCTTGTCTTGTCCCCCTGTGTTCTTGTCCGTGTGTCTCCCCTTGGCCCATGCACCACTCCCCCCCTGCAGCCAGGTGCATTGACGAGTACATGGATCTGAGTGTCAAGCGCGCCGACTCCCATGACCCCGACGCCGACTACCTTGTCTTGTCCCCCTGTGTTCTTGTCCGTGTGTCTCCCCTTGGCCCATGCACCACTCCCCCCCTGCAGCCAAGTGCATTGACGAGTACATGGATCTGAGTGTCAAGCGCGCCGACTCCCATGACCCCGACGCCGACTATCCGCTTGACCCGCGCCTCGTGGCCATCGTAGAGCGGATGCTGGACAAGTGAGTATTACTGTTGCTGGTTTGATCCACATGCATGTGCAAGAGATGGGCCAACCTGGTGTGCCGACTCCCATGACCCCGACGCCGACTATCCGCTTGACCCGCGCCTCGTGGCCATCGTAGAGCGGATGCTCGACAAGTGAGTGCTTCTCATTTTGTGATGATTCAGATGCATGTGCAAGCGGAAGGCTGACCTGGTGTGTGAACTCCCATGACCCCGACGCCGACTATCCGCTTGACCCGCGCCTCGTGGCCATTGTAGAGAGGATGCTGGACAAGTGAGTGCTTGTGCTGCTGGGATGATTAACGTGCATGTGCGAGAGGAGGGCCAACCTGCTGTGTGGATTCCCATGGCCCCGACGCCGACTATCCTCTTGACCCGCGCCTCGTGGCCATCGTAGAGCGGATGCTGGACAAGTGAGTAGCGCTGCTCTTGCTGCTCTTGCTGGGATAATCTGCATGCATGCGCGAGAGGATGGCTGACCTTATGTGTGTCACCGTGATCACTCCTCTTGATCCACCCACGCGTCATGGCCATTGTCTTTTCCGCCATTCCCACGTACCCCCGTTTCTCGTCCGTACCAGCTGCATTGAGAAACGTCAGTTTCAGCAGGCCATTGGGGTGGCTCTGAAGTGCCACACTCACCAATAGCTCCCCTCCCCCCCACTTTCCCCCCACTCCCCACCTCCTCACCCTTCCCTCTCTTCCACTCCAGCTGCATTGAGGAGCGTCAGTTCCAGCAGGCCATTGGAGTGGCGCTGGAGTGCCGCGCTCACCAGTAGCTCCCCCTCTCCGCCTTACTGCAACCCCTCCTCTCCCTCCCTCCTTCCATCTCAGCTGCATTGAGGAGCGTCAGTTCCAGCAGGCCATCGGAGTGGCGCTGGAGTGCCGCCGCCTCGACAAGCTGATCGTGGCACTGCCATTGCCAGGAGCCAGCTCTAGCCCTCTCACCTCTCCCGCTGCCCCTCTACCCTCATTCCAGCTGCATAGAGGAGCGTCAGTTCCAGCGGGCTATCGGAGTGGCGCTGGAGTGCCGCCGCCTTGACAAGCTGGAGGCTGCCGTCGCCAGGAGTGGGCTATATCTGTCAACTGTAGTCACTCTTGATATTTCTGACAACTGGCTACCCCTCTCTTCCCTCTCGCCCGCCCCCCCCCCATTTCCCGGCGTTCTCGTGCCTGTCTCCCCTTTGCTCCCCCCCCTCCTCTCTCTTCCATTCCAGCTGCATTGAGGAGCGTCAGTTCCAGCAGGCCATCGGAGTGGCACTGGAGTGGGGTGGCGCTGGAGTGCTGTACTCACCAATAAATCCCTCTCTCCCCTTCCATCTCAGCTGCATTGAGGAGCGTCAGTTCCAGCAGGCCATCGGAGTGGCGCTGGAGTGGGGTGGCGCTGGAGTGCTGTACTCACCAATAAATCCCTCTCTCCCCTTCCATCTCAGCTGCATAGAGGAGCGTCAGTTCCAGCAGGCCATCGGAGTGGCACTGGAGTGGGGTGGAGCTGGAGTGCTGTACTCACCAATAAATCCCTCTCTCCCCTTCCATCTCAGCTGCATTGAGGAGCGTCAGTTCCAGCAGGCCATCGGAGTGGCACTGGAGTGGGGTGGCGCTGGAGTGCTGTACTCACCAATAAATCCCTCTCTCCCCTTCCATCTCAGCTGCATTGAGGAGCGTCAGTTCCAGCAGGCCATCGGAGTGGCGCTGGAGTGCCGCCGACTTGACAAGCTCGAGGCTGCCGTTGCCAGGAGTGGCAACTCTCGCTCCCTGCTCGCCTACTGCCTCCAGGTAGGTTGACCTCCGTTGACTTCTGTTGACTTCACTGTGCGCTGGAGTGCCGCCGCCTTGACAAGCTCGAGGCTGCCGTCGCCAGGAGTGGCAACTCGCGCTCGCTGCTCGCCTACTGCCTGCAGGTGGGTTGATTTCTTTTGACTTCCGTTGACTTCTGTTGACTTCCCTGCGCGCTGGAGTGCCGCCGCCTTGACAAGCTCGAGGCTGCCGTTGCCAGGAGTGGCAACTCGCGCTCCCTGCTCGCCTACTGCCTGCAGGTAGGCAGTTCTCACTTATCCGTTAGGGCGAGCTCAGCCAAAAATACACTACCTTTTTGGGTCGTAGTCTCACTAAAGCGGAGTTTGTTTACAAGCTGGAGCCTGCCGTTGCCAGGCGTGGCAACTCGCGCTCGCTGCTCGCATACTGCCTGCAGGTGGGTTGATTTTTACTCAACCAAGAATTGCATTGACTTTCTGGGGCTTAGTTTCAGTAGGGTGAATTTCACTTGACAAGCTCGAGGCTGCCATTGCCAGGAGTGGCAACTCGCGCTCCCTGCTCGCCTATTGCCTGCAGGTGGGTTGTTTTTCAGTCAACCAGTATGGATATGCCTGCCGATTTGCCTTTCCACATTCACTCACACCCATCTGCTGCCCAACGTTCCCACTCCCTTTTTTGCAATGTTCTTTGCGCGTTCGCCATAAAGTGAGTAAACTTCCTTCTCCCCTCTCGCACAGCGTGCATACACCATTTTGATTCCACACCTCGTCGTCCAACAAGTATTTGTATGGTTGTCTAAGCCTTTCTCTACCCTGTTTGCTGCTGTGTTTCCTGCCTGCTTGCCGCTGCTACCTCCCATGCAGGTCTCGCACTCCCTTGTCAACCGCCGGCAGTTTCGCCAACAGGTACTGTCCCTTCTATGTACCTTTCTTTTTGTACTCTGCTCGTCCCTATGGCCATTCCTTCCCCCATCCCCTTCCCCTCTGCCCCACCCCCGCTTGCCTTTCCGCTGTGCCCTCTCCACCCTGTGCCCTCTCCACGTGCCCTCGCCTCTCACTCATTGCTGCTCAACATATTCCCGTTCATCCACTCAGGTGCTGTCCACGCTGGTGCGAGCTTTTGAGAACAGTTAATCTCGTCATACTCCTATCCATTCCACCCCAGGTGCTGTCCACGCTGGTACGCCTATACCAGCAAGCGGAGACCCCCGACTACGGCAGCATATGCCAGATGCTCATGTTCCTCAGCGACGCAGCAGGGGTGGCGGCCACACTGGACCGACTCATCAAGGGGCAAAACGAGTCTGACGCCCTACTAGCGTACCAGGTCGCCTTTGACCTGTTTGAGAACGAGTTTCAGCAGTTCTTGCTGTCGGTTCGGGATGCTCTGCCTGACCCGCCGCCCCCGCTTGCGCCTGCCCCGGCTGTTCCGGCTTCTGCTGATGCTGATGCCGCTGCTGCTGCTCCGGAGGCGGATGGTGCTGCTGCTGCAGCTGCTGATGGTGAATCGGCTGGTGGTGATGCTGCAGCAGGTGCAGCAGCAGCAGCAACAGAGGGAGGCAGTGCTGCTGGTGCAACCGATGCTGCTGCAGCGATGGAGACGGAGGAAGGGAAGGAGGGAGAAGGAGCAGCAAAGGCAGAGGGGGGAGAGGCGGCAGATGCAGCTACAGCAGCAGCTGCTGAGGACGGAACAGCCAAACCTGCTGCCGAGGCTGACGGGACAAGCACCATGGACACTACCGAGGCAGCTGGTTCTGGTTCGGCCGAAGCTGCAGGTTCGGGGGAGGGCGAGGCAGCTGCCGAGGCTACGCCGAGCGAGGAGGTGGTGTATGCAGAGCGACTGGCGAAGCTGAAGGGGATTCTGTCAGGGGAGACTCCGATTGGTCTCACCCTGCAGTTCCTCTACAGCCACAACAAGTGAGTGCTTGTTATTCAATTAGTAGATGATGGTAATGCTGTTTAGGGCTGGTGCCAGCATCACACCAGTTGACGCTGGGTTGGTGGTTTAGGAGTTTGGGGGTTTAGGGTGTGTCAGTGTCCGTGTGTTGGCGTCAGTGTGAGCGGAGAGACTGGCGAAGCTGAGGGGGGTTCTGACGGGGGAGACCTCGATTGGCCTCACCCTGCAGTTCCTGTACAGCCACAACAAGTGAGTGCTGGCTTTGGGGTTGGGGCTTAGGGGTTTAGGGTGTGTCAGTGTCCGTGTGTTGGCGTCAGTGTGAGCGGAGAGACTTGCGAAGCTGAAGGGTATTCTGACGGGGGAGACTCCTATTGGCCTGACCCTGCAGTTCCTGTACAGCCACAACAAGTGAGTGCTTGTTATTACAAATAGTAGATGGTGGTAATGCTGTTTAGGGCTGGTGCCAGCATCACACCAGTTGGCCTGACCCTGCAGTTCCGGTACAGCCACAACAAGTGAGTGCTGGCTTTGGGATTGGGGTTAGGGGTTTGGGGTGTGACAGTGTCTGTGTGTTGGCGTCAGTGTATGCGGAGCGATTGGCGAAGCTGAAGGGGATTCTGACGGGGGAGACTCCGATCGGCCTCACCCTGCAGTTCCGGTACAGCCACAACAAGTGAGTGCTGGCTTTGGGATTGGGGTTAGGGGTTTGGGGTGTGACAGTGTCTGTGTGTTGGCGTCAGTGTATGCGGAGCGATTGGCGAAGCTGAAGGGGATTCTGACGGGGGAGACTCCGATCGGCCTCACCCTGCAGTTCCTGTACAGCCACAACAAGTGGGTATCGGCCATACGTTGAGTAGATAGTGATGATGCTGTTAAGGGCTGCTGCCAGGATCACACCAATCGGCTCAAACTGCAGTTCCTGTACAGCCACAACAAGTGAGGGGTTTGGGGTTTAGGGCGTGTCAGTGTCCGTGTGTTGGTGTCAGTGTGTGTGTTGAGGAGGTGGTGTATGCGGAGCGACTGGCGAAGCTGAAGGGGATCCTGTCGGGGGAGACTCCGATTGGTCTCACCCTGCAGTTCCTCTACAGCCACAACAAGTGGGTGCTGGCTTTGGGGTTGGGGTTTAGGGGTTTAGGGTGTGTCAGTGTCAGTGTGATGGCGTCAGTGTATGCGGAGCGACTGGCGAAACTGAAGGGATTCTGTCGGAGGAGACGTCGATTGGTCTCACGCTGCAGTTCCTGTACAGCCACAACAAGTGGGTGCAGGGTTCAGGGTGTAGGGTATGTTATAGCAAGAGTCCTCACAGGGATAAAGCAGTTCCAGAGCCCCACTGTACCTGGTCTAATCCGCCCCTATTTTACTCTTTGCCTCTTCACTTCCCTCTTGTAAACTGGGAGTCGCACAACAGCATGTGCCACAGTGCCACCATCGTAACCCTCCCTTAAAGCCCCTCCTTTTCCTCCTCTGTTTCCCATGCCCTCCTGTTCCACGTCTTACCTGGCAGGGCGGACTTGGGCGTGCTGAAGGCGATCAAGCAGGTGGTGGAGACGAGGAACAGCGTGTGCCACAGCGCCACCACCATAGCCCTCTTAAATTCCCTTGCCTTCCTCCCCTGTTCCCGTATGTCCTCCTGTTCCCCATCACCCCCCTGCTCCCCTTCTTCCCTCGCAGGGCCGACCTGGGAGTGCTGAAGGCGATCAAGCAGGTGGTGGAGACGAGGAACAGCGTGTGCCACAGCGCCACCACCATAGCCCTCTTAAATTCCCTTGCCTTCCTCCCCTGTTCCCGTATGTCCTCCTGTTCCCCATCACCCCCCTGCTCCCCTTCTTCCCTCGCAGGGCCGACCTGGGAGTGCTGAAGGCGATCAAGCAGGTGGTGGAGACGAGGAACAGCGTGTGCCACAGCGCCACCATCGTTCCCTTCCCCCCCACCCCCTCTTAAACCACTTCTTTTCCTCCCCGGTTCCTCATCTTACCTGGCAGGGCCGACCTGGGAGTGCTGAAGGCGATCAAACAGGTGGTGGAGACGCGCAACAGCGTGTGCCACAGCGCCACCATTGTGGCCAACGCATTCATGCATGCGGGCACGACAGTTGACACCTTCCTCAGAGACAACCTGGTCAGTGCGCCCAGTCTTGCACTCATGCATGCCTCCGTCTCATTGTGGCCAACGCATTCATGCATGCGGGCACGACAGTTGACACCTTCCTCAGAGACAACCTGGTGAGTGCGCCCATGCATGCACTCACGCAAGTGCTCATGCTCACGCACTTACGATCACGCATGTGCTCGTGATGCATGTGGGCACGACAGTCGACGCCTTTCTCAGAGACAACCTGGTGAGTGCGCCCATGCATGCACTCACGCAAGTGCTCATGCTCACGCACTTACGATCACGCATGTGCTCGTGATGCATGTGGGCACGACAGTCGACGCCTTTCTCAGAGACAACCTGGTGAGTGTGCCCATGCATGCATGTGGCCACAGTCTACACTCATGCATGGATGCACGGGCATGCATGCGGGCACGACTGTTGACACCTTCCTCAGAGAAAACCTGGTGAGTGAGTGCGCCCAGTCTTGCACACGGGCACGGGCATGTATGTGTTCATGCATGCTCTCATGATCTTGCGTTCATGCATGTACGCATGTATGTGTTCATGCATGTACTTGCGTTCATGCATGCGGGCACGACAGTCGACGCCTTTCTCAGAGACAACCTGGTGAGTGCGCCCATGCATGCATGCAGGCACGGCCATCATTCATGCATGCTGAAACGGGCATGCATGCGGGCACAGTCATGTATGGAGGGAATGTGCTCTGTAGGAGCCATTCATCCACACGGAGAGGCGATTTTTGAGTCGACTCAAGGGAATGAATGTGCTGTGTAGGAGCCATCCACATGGAGAGGCGCTCTCTCATCTGCAGCAGGCACCCTTTCATGGCTCCTAACCTGCACTTACACTCTCTCTTCTTGTCCCACCCAACCTGTCCTTCAAACCTCAAACCCGACCCTAAACCCTGAACCCTCAGGACTGGCTGAGCCGAGCAACCAATTGGGCGAAGTTCAGTGCCACAGCCGGGCTGGGAGTGATTCACAGGGGGTGCCTGCAGCAGGGGCGCTCGCTCATGGCTCTCGTCTCAATTCCCCGATTTCAATCTCCACCAACCCCCTATCCTGATCCCCCAATGCAGGACTGGTTGAGCCGAGCGACCAACTGGGCAAAGTTCAGCGCAACAGCCGGGCTGGGGGTGATACACAGGGGGCACCTGCAGCAGGGGCGCTCCCTCATGTATGTATCTCACCACAACCCCCTCCCGCTGTTCCAATCCCCCAATGCAGGATTGGTTGAGCCGAGCAACCAACTGGGCGAAATTCAGTGCAACGGCCGGGCTGGGGGTGATACACAGGGGGCACCTGCAGCAGGGGCGCTCTCTCATGGCGCCCTACCTGCCCCACGGGGCTGGGGGCGGCGCAGGGGCAGCAGAGGCGCTTCCTCATGAGTCTCATGTCAATCCAACCCCTTGTCCTGATCCCCCAATGCAGGACTGGCTGAGCCGAGCCACCAACTGGGCGAAATTCAGCGCTACCGCCGGCCTGGGGGTGATCCACCGGGGGCACCTGCAGCAGGGGCGCTCGCTCATGGCTCCCTACCTGCCCCACGGGGCTGGGGGCGGCGCAGGGGCAGCAGGGGGCGCAGGGGGGCTGAGTGGGAGTGCGTTTTCGGAGGGTGGGGCACTGTATGCTCTGGGGCTCATCCACGCCAACCACGGGGAGAGCATCAAGGGCTTCCTGCTCGAGAGCCTGCGCAACACCAGCAACGAGGTGCGCCCAGGGCAGTGGTTTAGGGTTTAGGGCAGGGTCTTAGGGCAGAGGGCAGGGGCATGAGGAGCTTTTCCTGTCCCACGAGGCTGGGGGGCTGGGGGGGTTGCGCTGGGGTAGCAGGGAGGGCAGTAGGCAGGGCAGCAGCAGCCGTGGGAGGCGGGCTGAGTGGGTGGGAGTGCGTATTATGGTGGTCCAGTCCTGATTATATGGTTTCGCGAAAGCGGAGAACCTCACAATAACTTCACTCTCATGCAGACGATCCAGCACGGGGCGTGCCTGGGCGTGGGGCTAGCGGGCATGGGAACAGGCGACAAGGAGGTGTATGAAGACGTGAAGAGCGTTCTCTACACTGACAGCGTCACCCCTATACGCTTGAAACCCTAAAGCCCCACCCCTACCCCCTTAAACCCACTGTATGAGGACGTGAAGAGCATGCTCTACACTGACAGCGCCGTGGCGGGCGAGGATGCACCGACTACCACAATCCCTACCCCTCTTTTAGCCCTTTCGACCTTGAATCTTGACTTTTGAGTCGACTCAAAAGTCAGCGCCGTGGAAGGCGAGGCGGCACCGACTACTACAACCACCACCCCTCTGTTAGCCCCTTAAACCCCGAACCCTCACCTCTCAAATCCCAAACCTTGCAGACAATCCAGCACGGCGCGTGCCTGGGAGTGGGTCTAGCAGCCATGGGCACGGGCGACGAGGAGGTGTATGAGGACGTGAAGAGCGTGCTCTACACTGACAGCGCTGTTGCGGGCGAGGCGGCGGGGATCGCGATGGGGCTGCTGCTGGTTGGGTCGGCGAGCGAGCGGGCGGCGGAGATGCTGGCTTATGCCCATGACACGCAGCACGAGAAGATCATCAGGTGGGGACAGGTTGACTAGGGGGTTAGGGGATTATCCGCACCAAACACAGACACACACACGCGGTGCACATACGCAATCACAGGAGAACGATACACACACGCAGGTAGCAGCGGAGATGCTGGCTTATGCCCACAAAACTGTGCACCGCCAAAAACGGCGCCATTCGCCAGCTTTCCTTCCTCAACCTTCCCCTCCCTTTCTCCTATCTGCTCCCCTTCCTCCGGATTTTTCTGCTGAGAATCCACCAGAGGCCTGGCGGTGGGGATTTCCCTGGTGGTGTACGGGCGGGAGGAAGAGGCCGATATTCTCATCCAGCAAATGGCAACTCCCTCTCTCCACCCCCGATTCATTCCCTCCCAACCTCCCAACCAAACCCTCTACTCCCCCTCCAGAGGCCTGGCTGTTGGGATTTCCCTGGTGGTGTACGGCCGGGAGGAGGAGGCCGATATTCTCATCCAGCAAATGACGACGGACGCCGACCCGATCCTGCGCTACGGAGGCATGTACGCCATCGCCATGGCCTACCGCGGCACCGCCAACAACGGCGCGATTCGGCAGCTTCTGCACTTTGCCGTCAGTGACGTCAGCGATGACGTCAGGCGCGCCGCCGTGCTGTGCCTGGGCTTCGTTCTCTGTGGGGAGCCCGATCAGGTGAGGGCCAGAGGAAGTTTGTCCTCTTCTGTCTCTTCTCCATGCCCTCTACTCTCTGTCCTCTGTCGATGTGCTGCGCCTGGGCTTCGTTCTCTGTGGGGAGCCCAATCAGGTGAGAGAGAGGGGGAAACTACTGTGCTCTACTTTTTCTCTTTCGTTGCTCGCGGTTTCCCGTTGCATGCTGTGCGTGCTCTGTCGCTGTGCTGTGCTGTGCTGTGCTGTGCTGTGCTGTGCTGTGCTGTGCTGTGCTGTGCTGTGCTGTGCTGTGCTGTGCTGTGCTGTGCTGTGCTGTGCTGTGCTGTGCCCGGGGCAGCCATGGCAGTCGGCATCGCGCGTGCCGACACGGCTCAGCGGAGCACTCTCGACCTGCTGGAGCCACTCTTCCTCACCCTTTTTTACCCTTGTTGCACCGGTTTTAACCCCTCTCTCTCCTCTTGCACCGGCTTCCACTGTTCGCCGCGCAGGTCCCTCGGATTGTCTCCCTGCTGGCCGAGTCATTCAACCCCCACATGCGCTATGGGGCAGCCATGGCGGTCGGCATCGCCTGCGCCGGCACGGCCCAGCGTAGCGCACTCGACCTGTTGGAGCCGCTCCTCATTCTCCCTTTTTTTCCGTTTTTCGCCCATGTACCACCCCCGCCACCGCTCTCTTTCCACTTGCACCACCCTCCACCGCTCTCCCTCCCTCCACACTTTGCAGGTCCCTCGCATGGTCTCCCTGCTCGCCGAGTCCTTCAACCCGCACGTGCGCTACGGGGCAGCCATGGCAGTCGGCATCGCCTGCGACGGCACGGCTCAGACGAGTGTGCTCGACCTGCTGGAGCCACTCCTCCTCACCGCTTTTGACCCGTGTTACACCATTTTCAACCCCTCTTTCTCCCCTTGTACCGGCCTCCACCGCCCTATCTCCTTCCACACTTTGCAGGTCCCGCGCATGGTCTCCCTGCTCGCCGAGTCATTCAACCCCCACGTGCGCTTCGGGGCAGCCATGGCAGTCGGCATCACGTGTGCCGGCATGGCCCAGTGAAGTGCTCTCGACCTGCTGGAGCCTTTCCTCCTCGTTCTCCCTTTTTAACCCATGTTGCACCACTTTCAACCCCTCTCTATCCCCTTGCACCGCCCTCCACCCCTCGCCATACAGGTCCCGCGCATGGTCTCCCTGCTCGCCGAGTCCTTCAACCCCCACGTGCGCTACGGGGCAGCCATGGCAGTCGGCATCGCCTGCGCCGGCACGGCTCAGCGAAGCGCTCTCGACCTGCTGGAGCCGCTCACGTCAGACGGGGTGGACTTTGTGAGGCAGGGCGCGCTCATGGCGACGGCCATGGTGCTCATGCAGTGTTCTCAGGAACGCGAATTCCGGGTGGTGACCTTCAGGTGAGCCCCAAGCCTTTAGGTAACCTTTAGGAGAGGTGAGCTCTCTCTGAGGCCCAGCGGAGCGCCCTGGACCTGTTGGTGGAATTTGTGCGGCAGGGGGCGCTCATGGCCACAGCCATGGTGCTCATGCAGTGCTCGCAGGAGAGGGAGCCGCGAGTTGTGACCTTCAGGTAAGTGGGAGTTGATCCGTGTATGAACGCATCTTGTATGCAGTGCTCTCAGTGGATGAGGCAGGGCGCCCTCATGGCAACGGCCATGGTCTCATGCAGTGCTCGCAGGAGCGAGAAGCAAGAGTGATCACATTCAGGTGAGTGGTTCACGACAAGCACGAGGACACCATGTGCAAGATGGGCGCCATTCCCCTGTCCCCCACTCACTCATTCTTATCCTACCTTCTTCTCCTCCCAGGCGTCAGCTTGAGAAGTCCATTCACGACAAGCACGAGAACACCATGTGCAAGATGGGCGCCATTCTCTCTGTCTCTCCCTTACGCAATCTCATATGCTGTTGTTACCCCCTCCGTTCCCCAGGCGTCAGCTCGAGAAGGCCATTCTCGACAAGCACGAGGACACCATGTGCAAGATGGGAGCCATTCTCTCTGTCTCCCACTCGCTTCCCCGCTGTCCCCCACTACCATGCACTGTCACCCCCTGTGCTCTCCAGGCGTCAGCTTGAAAGGGCCATTCACAACAAGCACGAGGACACCATGTGCAAGATGGGCGCCATTCCTCTTATGTCTCCCTCAGTCAACCAGCTTCCTTCTCTCCTCATCCTCCCCTCCCTCCTGCCTCCCACCCCCAGGCGCCAGCTCGAGAAGGCGATTCACGACAAGCACGAGGACACCATGTGCAAGATGGGCGCCATTCCTCTTATGTCTCCCTCAGTCAACCAGCTTCCTTCTCTCCTCATCCTCCCCTCCCTCCTGCCTCCCACCCCCAGGCGCCAGCTCGAGAAGGCGATTCACGACAAGCACGAGGACACCATGTGCAAGATGGGCGCCATTCTCGCCTCCGGAATTCTCGACGCAGGCGGCCGCAACGTCACCATCTCGCTGCGCTCCCGCTCGGGCTACGACCGCGTAACCGCCGTCATCGGCATGGCCCTTTTCACGCAGTACTGGTACTGGTTCCCGTTGCTGCACTTCCTCTCTCTCTCCTTCTCCGCGACAGCCCTCGTCGGGCTTCAGGGGGATCTCAAGGCGCCGAAATTTGATTTTATTTCGGAGTGCCGCCCGGGGTTGTTTGCGTACCCGCCGCCCGCTGTTGTGGCGAGTAGCAGCACTGCCGTGAAGGCGCCGGTTGCGGTGCTGTCGACTGCTGCTAGGGCGAAAGGGAGGGCGAAGGAGAAGGAGGAGAAGAAGGAGAAGGAGGAGAAGGAGGAGGAGAAGAAGGGTGGGGGAGAGGGGAAGGCCGCGGAGGGTGGGGTTGCAGCAGCGATGGATGGAGTGAAGGGGGGAGAGGAGGATGAAGGGAAGAAGGGAGAGGAGAAGAAGGAAGTAGATGCTATGGAGGTAATCGTTGATCTGCCGTGCCCTCCAACGTTTGTCCACTTCTTCCAACATTTTCCCACCGTTCTTGTTACACATGTCATATCACCCCTTCCACCCGCCACTCACTCCGCGTTTGCCCCCTCCCTCTCGTGGCTTTCTCTCTCGCGTACACACTCATGCTCTTGCTTTCCTCGCCCTCACATTCTAAGTCTTCGCGCATAGCCCGTCTTGTGAGTGGCTTTTTTTATACCAAGTAGTAGTGTGCAACCCGCTTTACTTCCACCAATTTTTACCATTCTCCACCCTTCTTCACCGCTCTCCACTGCTCTCGCCCACTTTCTCTCCCGCCCGCTCTCCTGTCATCCCCTTCCTCTTCCCATAAACTCCTTCAACTCCCACCTTTCATCCTTGCAGGTTGAGGGGGCTGAGACAACCTCAGGTGCTGCTGCTGAAGCCAAGAAGCCATCCGAACCAACGTCTGAAATCCTCCACAACCCTGCCCGAGTGCTGCCCGCCCAAGAAAAATACATCAAGTTCCCGGACACGTGCCGCTATGCACCAATCAGAAAGCCGACATCCGGCTTTTTGCTCCTCAAGGATCGCCGGCCCGGGCAGCCCGAAGAATTCGCGCTCACCGACGGGCCGAATGCTGCTGCAGCCGGAAATTCCGGTGCTGCCCGGACTGCCGCTGCTGCTGCCCCAGCTGCTGCTGCTGCTGCCCCTGTGGGGGCATTCAGGAGGAGTGGTGGGGGAGGAGCAGGGGGAAGGGGGAGAGGGGGAGGTGCTCCCCCTCCCCCACCTCCTCCTGCTGATGATGATGAAGATGATGACGAGCCTGCTCCTCCCGAGGCCTTTGATTTCCGTTAACCTCAAATTGGCTTGGCTTGGCTTGGCTAGTGTCTCCCCCACTTCTTCCTGCTGATGCGGGATGATGCCGAGCCTCCTCCTGCTGAGGCCGTCGATTCCGTTAACTCTGGCTTGTCGTTTGAGTTGACTCAAAGGTCTCTCCCCCACCTCCCCCTGCTGATGCTGATGAAGTTAGGACGATGACGAGCCTGCTCTTCTCGAGGCTTTGATTTCCGTTAATTCTGGCACGTGTTATCCTATCCTGTTCTATATGCTGTTGTGGGGTGGGGTCTCCTACTTGAATACCTGAAGGGAGATTTTTCTAGCTTGACAAACTATTTGACCCAACCATATGCAAGCAGAATATTGTGGGTGGGACGGAGGTGTTGCATGATGATCGATGAGTGTGTCCTGCCTTAACAAGAAACGTGATGACATGTGCACAGAAAATTTTCTTAGCTAACTCACTCGTTTTTTTTGGAATGTCACCTTTGGATCACATATTGTAGAACACATTTTCAAGTGTATTGAGCTAACAATGGTAAGTTTCTCAGTGTTCCTCCACAGCTGTCACCCGCACGAACCGGCCAAGACTGGACTCCAATCATTTCCGCGTTGGGAGATTCGCTAATTGCACCCTGCCCGATCTCCTCACTGAAACGTCGTTGTGATTTCCATTCACACGGAGGGACAGGTCATACATACACCCTGTTTCTCGCTACACTGAACTACGGAAACACACTGAACAGTGGAACTGTTCCTTGGACGTATTCGAAAAGTTTACAATAACCGTCTCTAGGAGGCGGGTGATCCGAAATTTCGTTAACCTGGGTACCCTACCGAGCCATATTAAAATTTCAACCGACCGTCTTCAAAGGTAGCTGACCTCGTCAAACCGAACTGGTGCAAAAGTTGACTATAGCGCGTAATTTGGCGCGATGAGCCACAGGGTTCAGTATACCGGCATTCACAATAGCAAAAAACAGGGTGTACACAATAGAGAGGACAAATCAGTCGAGAAAACGACAAGTGTGGGTCATAGAGGCGTTTGTTTTGTGCAGCTCATGGTGAACTTCCAGCAATGATGGGATTATATTCGAATACTGTGTGGATTCCTACGCGGTGATTGATAGGGCAACTCCTCACGTGGGGCCCGCGTTCATGATTTCGCCAGCCCTGAATCTTGAATACTGTACTTGTCTCTCAAAACAACTCAGTTCTTCCGGGACTGAGCCGTTTTCGCATTCAAAAGAGTGTGATGATATAGCATCTCCCATAATTCCTACCTACTTAGGATTAGGATACCAGGAGTAGTTTTGGAGAAGTACTGTAATGATGGTAGGCAAGTATTAAGAGCTGTAGTACATTTACGAGCAAAAACAAATCAATATCTGTTGAAGTTTGATAAAAGAAATACATCCCAAGGGGACTCTAGCAGCACATGGCGAATCCGAAGCTAGCTGCGAATCGTCAGATCTGTTGTGGCTAGCTGCAACGTTGTTTTCCCAGGCTACGCGGTTCTTATTGATTGGTGGATTTGTTTCTTGGGGATTGCGCCCACTGTGGAGATAATATACAGCTCCAGTGCGGAGCTACTGCACAAATGTGACAAGAACGTACACCCTCCGATACACCAGATATTAGAAATCGTTAATACTTCTATCCACACATACTAAAAGGCCAACTAATCGGAGGCTAGTGTGATGGAAATTTAGAACTTTTGCCCTCACGGGCCAGTCACATTTCTGGTGACTGTGGTTACGGCGCGCTTTCGGTGGAACTTTCGTTTTTCTCACCGATTTGATCTCCATTATCCAATGCCTTGGATCCGACGTCATCTGCGGCTTGTGCTGTATGAACCTTCACTGCTCCCCCATGTGATCCGTGGAACTTCTGGGCAGGATGCACGTTTCTTGCATTTGACCTAGAACTGCCCAAACGCATCCACTCTCCTGCCAGGCTGCCCAACAGCTAGCGGGGACTTGGCTTCTTCAATCGTGAAATTACACTGAACGTGTGCACTACAGTTCTTGATACCCTCCACAGCAAGGATTCTGTGCGGCTTCTGCCAGCCCACACTTGCGAATGCCTCCTCCCCCGCTTCCCCCTAGCTCCATCTCTCCCCTCCCCTCCCCTCCATCCATAAGCCCCACACCCCAACCTCTCCCCCCCTTCTATTTCTACCGCCGCTCGTTTCCTTTCGCCATCCTTCGTCGCGAGTTCGCCGCGCATCTGCGCCTCGCTAAACCATCTGATTTCCTTTCTGGCGCTCCGCAGTGCAAGCTGGTTCGCATCTGATCTTCCGCAATTTCGAGTCGCACTAACTCACAATACCGCCTCTCCTTGCAACTCCAGCTGATCTCCAGTTTAGCGTCCACGCAGACAGCAACACAAACTCGTCCTTTCATACAAATGCCAGCCCTTAGCACAATACGCTACGCTTCATCGCTTCTGTCACGTCTCACAACATTGTCTCTAATAGCAGCTGTTCTCCCTACCAACCCGACTTCCAGATACGAAACACGACGAGTTTGTGGCAGCAATAGCTGCATAGCAGCTCATCTCCCACCTTGCTCTTTATATCACTTTTCTTTACTATTTCAACCATTGAATTTGCTGTCGCAGTATTCACGCCGTCGACCTTTCTCAAGCATATCCAAGTTCGCAGCACAGAAAAGAGCGAAAGCAAAACTGTTTGGTTGCATTCTGCACTCTCGAATCTCGATCCCCCTCCACATTTTTCAACATTGTTGTTCCAAGCTCCGCCGGGGGTCCGCGCTCCGCCAGGTGTTCCGAGGTCCAACAAAGTTGTCACCCGTAGCTCGCTCCAAAAACTTCCTAGGTCCAACAGGTTGTTCTGCACGCGTGGAGCACGTGAGCTGTCACCCGCCGCACTGGCCCACCGCTCTAATCTTCACGTATAAGACTCGCGACGACAGAACACTCGAGTCGACCTGGCGCGTTTCGCGACGTCGCAGATCGCGACGACAGAAGGAGCTGGCGAGAGCCTGTCTCTGAGGCAGTCTTTCGTCTCTTTCTCTCGAATTTCGGCGATTACTGCGCTTGCGACTGAAAAACTCCACTCTTCTTCAAACTTCAACGCCGATATTGTCACCTCTTCAACCCAGCCGATCGCGCGCGCGCGAGTGTGCTACCAAAACAATAGCAGCGACAGCCGTGCTAACAGCAGGGGGCCACAGCAGGAAAAGGGCGTCGCCCCACTGGAGTAGCAGCAGTGTGACAGCAGTGAGACTCGACCGTAATGACTGGTGGAAGTGACCATTGATCGCCGATGTCGCTGGAAACCGAAGGAGTGTTCTCGCCATCGACATCTATCACAATCCATTGATAGATAAAGCAACAGCTGCAGCAACAGCAGCAAACAGCAGCAGCATTAGCAGCAGAAAGCAGCAGCAGAATCAGCAGCGGCGGCGGCGGCGGCGGCGGCGGCAGCAGCAGTGGGCGTGGAGTTACCAAAACTCGAACGGGAATTCGATCAGCAACGCGTTGAGCAGCAGCGCGAGCAGCGATCGGTGTTTCAGGAGTTGTCGGATTACAGAAGCAGGTCTACGAAGCAAGTAAGCCAGGGACGAGCTCAAACTGCAGTTCCTACTAACGACGCGAGATACCATCATAGCGCGATCGGGAGGACACAGCAATCTAAAAGCGACTGCCGTCCTCCATGAATTTCCCATCCGTCAACACTTCCTTCACCTCATCGGCGCAAGAAACTTCGTTCACCCAATTTCCGAAAAACTCTCCCTCATCCGCCGCAATGCCGCGCCACGTGGCCGCGCCGATGGGCGCAGCTTCCCGCGGCGGCGACCGCCGGAGTCGAAGCCCGAGTGCTCAGAGCGCGCAACGCGCAAGCCCAGCGCTCAGCGCGCAGAGCGCTCAACCAACCGCGGGATCTCCGCTTCTTGGAGGACAGAGGCGGAACGACGAGCGCGCGGAGGTTTATCCGCGTACGGCTTTTGTAGCCGGCCGCGAATCAGCGGAACGCCAAGTTCCGCCAGAGCAGGCGGGGCTGGAAGAGATGCTTCGCGCGCCTGGTGCGGGGGGCGGCGGGCGGAACGGCGGAACTCCTGCGGAGACGCTTGCGCGGATCACGGCGCGGTTCGGCGCGAACCAGCTTGCGACGGACGCGCCGCAGATGCTACAATCGACGGCTGCTCGCGGAGAAGAAATCGCGACTGCAGCAGCTGCGGAGGAGGCGGAAGTGCGCGGAGAGTGCGAGGAGGGCGCGGAGGAAGCGGAAAGCGGAATGTACGAGGGTCTGCTGGAGGCGGTGATCCGCGCGCGACCGGCGCGCGAAACGGCGGAAGCGCAGGAAGGTGGCGGAAGCGGTGCTACTTTTACGCGCGGCGGAGCGGCCGAGAAGGGAGGGATTAGGTTGGCGGAGATCGCGCCGTGGGGAAAGTCCGCGTTGACGGAAGCATCATTAGCGGAGCTTGAGGCGTCGATATCCGCGCTACAAGCATCCCTGCTACAGCAACAGCAACACCAGCCGCAGCAGAAGGAGCAACCGGCGCAGCCGCAGCAAGAGGGACAGAAGCAGGAGGACGAAGAGACGGCGAGTGGAGAAAGGTACCCCGCGCAAGCAGAGGGCAAGGGGAACGACAGAGCGGAACAATTCGGCGAAACCCTAGACTCGGAGTGGAAAAACTCGCTTGTCAGGGGAACCAATTCGCAAAACGATAAGTCCCGTTTGAGTTCCCAGTTCCCGGTTCCCAACTCTCATTCGGAAGGCGGAAATTTCGACTCCCAGTTCGAATCAGTCACCTTGAGAACATTCGCCGCCTGGTCGGACGAGCATTGCGCCGCTTTCGCTGCTGACGGCGCGCGCGGAGATGCGGCGGCGAAAACTGCGCAACCCGCGGAAACGGCGGTCGCCGCGCGGCCGCTCCACCAGCTGCTCTCCGCGATGGACCCGAATCAAGAGGCAATGGTCGCGCTCGCCGCTTCCGCGCCCCCCCCAGTCGATGACAATGTGCGCGGAGACGTGGCGGAAGCCGCGCGTCCTCTCCGCAGCCGCCTGCTCTCCGCGGTGGACCCGAATCAAGAGGCAATGGTCGCGCTCGCCGCTTCCGCGTCCGCCCCAGGCGCGCCCCTCGCCATTCCGCTGCTGCAGCCCAGCTCCTTCCCCGCGAGCTTCGGCGCCGCCAGCGCCTCGCTGCGAGCGCAGAACGGCGGCGGCGGATCCGCGGCGCGCGCGGCTGTTGCCACCTCCTCGGCGGCGGATCCGCACAGTCAGAGTTTCGCCCGCGCCCGCAGCAGTGGCGGCGGCGGCGGCGGCGGGACGAGTGGCGGCGGCGGCGACGGCGGCGGCGGCGGCAGCGGGACGAGTGGCGGCGGAGGGGGGCGTGCATTCATTATTCCCGCGAGCCTATCAACCGCCTTCTCTCCCTTCTCCTCCTTCGACGCCTCCTCGCTGTCCCCCTCGTCCACCGCAATTCTCGGCGCTCTTCCCGCTCTCCAGCCCTCCATGTTGAATCCCGCCCGGTGCGATCCTGCTGTGCTGAGCTCAGAAAGGTTTCAATCAGGGGTGTTGCCAGAAGTTAGCCCTGTGCAAGGTGCCTCTTCAGAAGGGTGCATGGTGTGTGGGTGTGGGTTGCAAGGAGGAGACGTACAGGTGGTGATGGGGGTGATAGGACGTGCCTGCTCTACCTGCCTCGCCTTCAACGAACCTGCCTTTGCCGAGCCTGTCTTTGCCAAAGGTGATGCCTCTGCCGAGGCTGTCTTTGCCGAGGCTAACGTCGGTCGGAGTCTCCGGACCTCCTTGGCAGGCTCGGCATCGAGCGAACAGGTTCAGCAAGAGTTGGGGATTCTGGGAGGGGCGATGCTGCTCCCGCCCTGGGACAAGGACTTGGAACAGCAATTGGTATTCCTGCAGCAGCAGCAACAGCAGCAGCAGCAGCAGCAGCAGCAGCAACAGCAGGCACAGCAGCAGCTTGAGCAGACAAGCAGCAGAGACCTTGCGGCTGCTGTTGCTGCCGCTGTTGCTACAGGCACCATTGCAAACGCCCCCAGGACTGGCAGCAACACTCTCGGCTGTGGAAGCAGCTTCAGCCGCAGCACCACTGTCAGCAGCAGCAGGAAGAGGAGAAGCGACCTTTCCCAGATGCACCTGGATTCGTTTCTAGGTGCGACCTGCAACACCAGCACCACTGGGAACCAATCTAGTTTCACTGCTGCTAGCAGCAACCTCCGTGCTGCTGCTATTCCTGTTCCCGCTGCTGTTACCGCTGCAGTGGGGTTGGAAGGAGCAGAAGGAGGAGCAGGAGAGGGGAGTGGGCGTGACATGCAAAGCATGATCGAGGCAAGCATCCGAGCCAACGAGTTCGCTTTGGAGCGGATAGCTGGGGAGAAGAGGTTCGGCGGGTGGCTCGGGCAGGGCCGAGGGAGCAGCGGCGGCAGCACAGTGTGCAGCAGCAGCGGAACTGGCAGCTTGTTCTGTGGTGTGGGTGGTGCTGCTGGCTCTGGGAGGCCACTGATTGGTGCTTCTGCTACTGCTGCTGCTGGTGCCGCTGCCGCTGCTAGTGCTGCTGCTGCTGGTGGTGGCGCAGGTGGTGGTGCTGCTGCTGCTTCTCGTGGTGGTGTTGCCTCAGCGGGAAGAGCTCGTGGGCTGTCTGACCGGCCTGCGTGGCAGGTGAAGCGGGGCAGATGGTCACAGAGGGAGCGGTGGTCGCATCACATGCGCGTTCAGTACCAGCGACAACAGGAAGAGCTGCTGCATCAGCAGCAGCAGCAGCGGGAGCAGCAGCAGGAGCAGAGTCGGCAGCAGCAGCAGGAGCAGGAGAGGCAGCAGGAGATGCTATTGCGGGAGTTGCTTGAGCAGCGGCAACGGCAGCAGCAGCGGCAGCAGCAGAATTCGTTCAACCTCCTCGCCTCTCCTCCCCTGTCTGGACTGGACACCCCTTTCTCAACACCTGGAGCTCTCAAGTCAGTCTTCCTTCCTCTGCCTCTGCTCCCCTCCTCTCCACCTCCCTCTCCAGCCCCCTTGGCTTTGCGGAAGCCTGCAGTTCCGCACCTAAGGTTCTGGCTCGGCGGTCCCGGACCTGTGGGGTCTCCCAAACCTCTGACCTCACAGAGTATGTTGCTAGCTTGAGGGCTGGAGTCGATGCTGCCGCTGCTGCCAGCGTCGCTGCTGCTGCCGCTGCTGCCGCCACTGCTGTGGGTGCCACGTCTGCTGCATCAACTGAGGCGTTTGTTGCCCCAGATGCATCGCCTGCTGCTGGTCTTCTCACACCCTCTATGGCCGCACCTCGCTTCACTCCTTCAATCCCCCGTGCACTCCCTAGCTCTGCTGGCTTCCGAGCCACTTCCCAGGCTGACAGGATTCTGGCAGCTGCGAATTTGGGCCTGGGAGGCTTGGTTCAAACCTCAGACTCTGCGTTGGTGCTTGTCCCAGGTTTGGCAACCTCAAGTGGTTCACTCGACTCAGAATAGCTGTGAAGCAGGCAGCGAAAATGATGGAAGTGCCAGTGTTCACTCTTCTTCCAAGGTAGGAAGATTACGGAAATGCGTATAGGACGCACATAAGCAAATCATAATCGAGGTGTGTTCTTGTTCTGTGGGTGCTTAGGAATTTGTCCATGTGATTTCTCAAATGATGTAATGTGTTGTGTATATTTGCCTTGATGGTTTCATTTTATGTTTGCGCTAGTGCTATTTTGTAGGACACAACCAATTATTGGACCCACCACCGACATCCCTTGTGTGGTACAGTTGCAGCAGAACCGCGTGACCCCCCTCCAGCTCTGGTCCGGCCCTAACCGTGTTGTACAAGTACACGAAACGACAAAAACAGCTCGATGCATTTTGTGACACTTTGTGGCGGGATCCAGCGACAGGCTGTTCAAATCTCTGTTGCATTTGTTGCACCAAATGCGGCGCTGTGGTTGGGCGAAGCCCAGTGAGGCAGCCACAAACTGTTGGACGTATCTTTGTTTTTACATCCTGTCAAAATTCTGGGAGTTTGGCATTTTTTCCATAAACATGCCACGTCGTTGTTCTTGTCACGATGAGAAATCGGCAGTGGTATAGTTTCCTTCAATCCGATTGGATAATAGTTCATTAGCAACTCCTGGCCGTTGAAAGGTCATTGCCAACGTGGCCACAAACCCTGGCAGCTGCTGTGAAGCACACACTTCTGAATTGTGGTGTGATTGGATGGCTACATGCATTTTCAAGTTCTTTCGGGGACTCACTCACTCACCCACACCCTGCCCGCGAAGACTCAGAATCTGTCGCCTGCTTCGGTATTGCCAAACCGGACCTATGGGTGGCAGGGGACCATTGAAAGGCCAGCAGAGCTTCCCAAGCCTATCCCAAGCCTAACTCAAACGTCGTGCAAACCTTCCTTGCCCTACCTAATAATTGAATGGCTTTTCGTCCAGTTCATCAAGAATCTTCGACCCCTAGCCATTACGTAGGTCGTCCCAACCACAGTCCCAGCCACAGCAGCAGCTCCGTCTCCGATCCCGCCTGCTGTAATCCCAGCCAACTGCAGCCCTTCACTGCTGTCTCGTCCAATGCCCTTCGAGCTTCAGATCCAATTCCTGAAACGCTCTTCACAGCTCACTCACTCACTCATATCCCCACTCGCTCGGTCATATACCCGCTCGCTCACTCACTCACTCACACAGTAAGTGCACTGTTCGTTACAACAGCATCATGTGTGTGCATCCCACACCTGATGCCTCTGAATCCCTCACTGCTCGGCTTGGTTGAGCAGCAACCCACCGCACGACCATCATCCAAAGCCCTCTGTGAAGCAGACACGGCTCCATTGGCCTTGTTGCTCCTTTTCTGAGAAACCATTGCCAGCTTCATTCATCCGGATCCTTGGCTGCTTCTTTTCTCTCCTTATCAGGCGTGGGCTGTTGGTTGGTCTGGGATCTCCCCGTGCGCCTGCTCCTCCCACACTCTCTGCCTGGTTCTTTTAATTAGTCGTGCTCTGCACCTTTTCGGAAATTACATAGAAGAGCCTCAGCATCGGCTATTAAAGCAGCTGTTTTGAAGCGTTTTATTTCAAGCCTTACTCTTCCTCCATCCACCTCCGCCGCCACCTTGCCGCTTCCCGAGCCTCAGCGGGACTCCTGACCGTAACCGAAGTAACTTTGAGTCGATTTCCTGTCTAGTCTTTATTAGCGTACCGCCGTCAGCCATGGATTACGCAATGGAGGATCACCGCCGTCCCCGGCGGTCCCTTCAGCTTGACCAACTCGAGCGTCCGTCCCACAACCCGATAATTCAAAGCTCGTTATACTCACCGTACGCGGCGCAGATCTCCCGTCGCCGCCGCTCGCTCGACGCAACAATCCACACTACAAACCCTCATCAGCAGCAGCCTCAGCAGCAACAGCAGCAGCAGGAGCATCTGGGCCGTCCAATCTACGTACCGTGTCGCGAGAGCAGCGTCCACGCGCATCCTGAGGCGGAAGTGTCGCAACACAGCTCCGAAAGCGGTGACGAGGTTTGCTCAGGACAGAGCCTCGCTACGAAGACTACTATCAAGAGTACTCTTAGTGCTGCTACGGCTACTGCTACTATCGGTCTTCAACGGCCGCAAACGGCGGCCGGCATCATGAACGACCCTTTTCCGCCGGAAGCGGCGTACTTCCCAGCAAGGGACCGCGGCGCCACGGATTACATGAACGTCGACGAGCCTGCGCGCTTCGGTGGAATGGTGAATACTCCCAACAACTTCGGCGCAGCTTCCCCTTGGATTTTTGCCGCGGCTGTTCCCGCTGCTGCGAGGGCCGACACTAAGGCGCGGACGCCGCCGGAGCCGGGCGCGGGGGGCGCGGCCAACCGGCGGCTCCGCGCAAACAGCGCGACTCTTCCAGCGACGTTCGGGGGCGAGCAGGAGGCTGCGGAGTGGGTGGATTGGTCCAACGTGGATTGCGCGTTCCAACCCGACGGGCTCATGCAGGCGCGCGCCGCCATGATCGAGCAGTGCCGGCAGAACTCGCGGCGCGCGGCTCTTGGTGCGTCGGTTCCGATGATGGCGGATTAAGAGTGCGAGGGGGGGGAAAGGCTGCGTGGGCGCACGCAAGCTCCTGGAAGCTAGTGAAGGCTTGCGCAGGTTCGTGCAGGCTTGCGCAGGTTCGTGCAGGCTTACGCAGGTTCGTGCAGGCTTGCGCAGGTTCGTGCAGGCTTGCGCAGGTTCGTGCAGGCTTGCGCAGGTTCGTGCAGGCTTGCGCAGGTTCGTGCAGGCTTGCGCAGGTTCGTGCAGGCTTGCGCAGGTTCGTGCAGGCTTGCGCAGGTTCGTGCAGGCTTGCGCAGGTTCGTGCAGGCTTGCGCAGGTTCGTGCACATTCGTGCTGCCGCTGGGATCGAGCTATGTCGGCAGAACTCCCGGCGACTGTCGGTCTTACGAACGTCGATTCTGATCATGGCGTATTGGAGCTCGCGGCGCGAGAGAAGTGGGATTGACGCGCGTTTGGTAGCATTTCCAAGGGTAGTCTTAAAATCAATCAACCCAGAATGTCGGGAAACCATGCTATTGCATGATACTGTCGGGATATGCGTGCCGCTTAGTTGCAGCATGATACTATGCATGTCTAAGCCTGTGTGCTAGTATCATGCTCTCTGCCGTTTACGTGTATGAGCCTGCTAGTAGGGTTTTGAGAAACTTCAACCTTATCTTGCATGAACTTGAATCTTGAAAAATAGGTTTCATAACCCTTTTGTAATAGCGATCCGTTTCTTACCTATTTGTCGATTAAAGCTGACCTGAAATTAACCATTGCTGTAACTTTTATTAAACAAAGTGCTTATTGGTAGCACGCATTGCATACACCCGTACCGCGACAGTCATGGCTCCGAGGATGCATTGATCGCGCCGCGCAATCACACCCCAGAGAGACACGCTCAGGAACACGTCTCGCAATCATATTCAAATTCCCGCGAGATGCGGGGAGTTGGAACTCCTAGGAAATCCTGATTGACTCAACATTATCCGTCTCAACTCGACAACTCACGAACCCGATTTCCTGACGGAGTCGCTGGTCCTGACCCTGACATGTCCGGACAACCGACGTGGACGGAGACGTAGACGTAAACGTTGACGGAGAGTTAGAGACGTAGATGTAGGCGGGGACGGAGTCGGAGACGTAGACAGAGCTCCTCCTCACTCTGACCCGGCGCTGACGTCTCTGCGGGTGCGCATTACGCTCGGAGACGTTTGCGGAAGCGAATCCCAACCACAAAAAAATTCGCGCGTTCCGCGCGACCCAACTCGACTATCCGTTGTGAAACTCGCGTCTGACCCGACTGCCCTCGACCTGTCATTTCGAGAAGCAACGAGGAGTGACCGGCTCTACAGAAACACCCGTTTCCGAAAATCGCGTCGCGCGTGACTAATCGCGAATAGGTTTAGTAACCATTCTAAGAATGGCTCTCAGCTCTCTAGCCCCGGTCAGAACCCTCCTTTTAACTCGCCAACTATTATGGCGCGGAGGCGCGTGGCACGCGGCTCCGCCCCCGATTCAACCTGTCCGATATGGCCGTAGAGAGCGGCACGAGTTAAGCGCTCCGTTAACAGGTACGCGACGCGATCTCTCGGCTTTAGGTTAGGTCGGCTTTAACAACCCGTCCCTGCGCGCACGAGATCTCCATGCGTTATCCCTGCATGCGCTACCCCCCCTTGCGCTACCCCCCCTCGTTCGTTATCCCTGCAAGCGATACCTCCGCTTGCGCTACCCCCCCTTGCGCTACCCCCCCTTGCGCTACCCCCCCGTTCGTTATCTCTGCATGCGGTTACCCCCGCGGGCGCCTGCGTTACCCCACTTAAAGTTCCGTGCTTCCCCCGTCCCCTTGCGCAGTGCAGGCGCGCGCGGGGAGGCGCGAGGCTGGAATTGCCGTTGGTGGCGCGCGGGGGAAGGGGGAAGGACGGAACCCTCTTTTGGCGGGAGTAAGCGGGGAGGAGCAGGAGACTGCCCGGCGAGTGCTGGAGCTGGTGAGAGAGGGGTGTGGGGGGGTGCTACTCCTAACTGGGGCAAAGGGGGAGACTGAAGTTGGTGGGATCAACGCATTGGAGGATAGGCGAGGGGCGGAACCCCCTGCCGGCGGGAGTGAGTGGGGAGGAGCAGGAGACTGCCCGCAGAGTGCTGGAGCTGGTAGGTAGAGGGGGAGGGGGAAGGGGAAACGGGAGGAAGATGAGGGAGTGAGCGGAGAGGAGCAGGAGAGGGCCCGGCGAGGGCCCTCACCTCCTATTCACTGCTGCACTCCGCCTTCCTCTCCCCCGCCTCTTAACCCGCCATCATGCCCATCCTCTCGCAGATGCCTCACCTTTCCGCCATCCTCTTGAGTCGTTTTAAAAGCCTTCCTCTCTGCCCTTCCTGACACTCCTTCCACACACACCAGGCCGATCGTGCCCTCACCTCCTATTCAGTTCTGCACTCTGCCTTCCTCTCCCCCGCCTCTCAACCCGCCATCATGCCCATTCTCTCGCAGACGTGTCTGCCCATCACATGTCTGCCCTTCCTCTCTGCAGTCACTCTCCCTCCACACCCTTTCCCCATTCTTCAGGCCGATCGGTCCCTCGCCTCCTATTCAGTGCTGCATTCATCCTTCCTCTCCCCCGTTGCTTGTGCTTCTCCCTCTTCTCCCCATGCCCTCCCCTCATTCCTTCCCTTCCCGCTCATCCTATTAACCCCCAGGCCGATCGGTCCCTCGCCTCCTATTCACTGCTGCATTCATCCTTCCTCTCCCCCGCCTCTCAAGCCGCCATCATGCCCATCCTCTCCAACATGGCTGACGTCACTGCCATCCTCTCCGGTGGTTACTTCCAGGTACGTACGGGCTCATCCTTTCCCTCCTTCCAATGTGTTCATCTCTGGTGGTAAGTACTTCCGTCTGTGTTGCTCTCAGGTGTGTTATTTCCAGGTCTGGGGTTACCCTCCCTCTCCTCTCCCCCGCCTCTCAACCAGCCATCATGCCCGTCCTCTCCAACATGGCTGACGTCACTGCCATCCTCTCTGGCGGTTACTTTCAGGTGTGTTTCAGGCGCTTACTTTCATATGTTTCAGGCAGTTACAAAAAAATAGAACACCCCATATTTTCACGTATGCGGTACCCCTCCCAACCCTCCCTCCACTTTTCTTAGCGGTACTTGCGCGTCTCTTTTCACTCTTTTGTTTAAAGGTTGATGTTGAGAATTCTCAAAATCACCCTCTCTCTCGAGCAGCTCTTGTGTGCTTCTCTTTCCACTCTCTCCCCACCCTCGCCTCACCCCTCAAAGCCCCGCCCTCCATCACTCCAACACCACAGGCAGAGCGGGCAGTGCAGGATTTCAGTGGGGCCCACGGAGCTGATGGCAGCAGAGGGAGTGCATGTGAATGGTTGGCACTGTCGGTGCAACCCAGATGAATTCCAAGGCACACATAACTCTATCGCCTTTTTTCCCTCCCTCAATCCAACACCATAGGCAGAGCGGTGCCGGGTGTCAGTGGGGCTCACACAGAGCTCATGGCAGCAGAGGGAGCGGGTGCAGATGCTGCTAATGGCACACAAGCCGCCTGTCCCTCTTCCCTTACCCCCAACGCACCCATCATATACAGGATTTCTGTGGGGCCTGCAGAGCTGATGGCAGCAGAGGGAGGGGGTGCAGATGCTCCTGCTGATGGTGCCAACAGTCGCCCGTCCCTTCTCTCTTCCCCACCTCCCTGCATCCACAGGCAGAGCGGTGCAGGGTATTGCTGGGGCCTGCACAGCTGATGGCAGAGGAGGGAATGGGTGCGGATGCTGTTAATGGTACACAAGCCGCCTGTCCTTCCCTCCTCTCTTACCCCCAACGCTTCCATCACATACAACAGGCAGAGCGGTGCAGAGTCTCAGTGGGACCTGCAGAGCTGGGAGGGAGTGACTGCAGGTGCTGCTAATGGCACACAAGCCGCCTGTCCTTCCCTCCTCTCTTACCCCCAACGCTTCCATCACATACAACAGGCAGAGCGGTGCAGAGTCTCAGTGGGACCTGCAGAGCTGGGAGGGAGTGACTGCAGGTGCTGCTAATGGCACACAAGCCGCCTGTCCTTCCCTCCTCTCTTACCCCCAACGCTTCCATCACATACAACAGGCAGAGCGGTGCAGAGTCTCAGTGGGACCCACAGAGCTGATGGCAGCGGAGGGAGTGGGTGCAGACGCTGCCGCTGATGATGCTGTACCAGCGCTGGCAGCTGGGTATCCAGGAGCCGTTGCAGCAGTGAGGTGATGCGCGGTTCTAGGTGTATACAGCAGAATGGGAGTGGGTGCGGGTGTTGCTGCTGATGATGCTTTGCCTGATGCTGTACCAGGGCTGGCGGCTGGGTTCCCAGGAGCCGTTGCAGCAGTGAGGTGATGCTTTCATCTGCGCATTAGAGGAGTGTTCTGTTTGGTTTCAGTTACCCGGAAAATGCTGCTGCTGCTGATGGTGCCTTGGCCGATGTTGTACCAGTGCTGGCAGCTGGGTTCCCAGGAGCCGTTGCAGCAGTGAGGAGATAACGGTGTATGATGATGGTGGTAGGTTGCAGAAGCACTAGTTTATGTAAGCAGGAGCAGTGAGTGCAAATGCTGGCGATGATGATGATGACTATGATGGGAGGGACGGGCCACCTAGCAACTTTGGCAGCTGGGTACCCAGGCGCCATTGCGCGAACGGGGTGATGCTTTATGGTCGCTTTATGGCAGTGGGGGGAGGGAGAGAGGGGGGGAGGGAGAGAGGGAGGGAGGGGGAGAGGGAGGAAGGGGAGAGAGGGAGGGAGGGGAGAGAGGGAGGGAGGGAGTGAGTGAGTGCAGTTGCAGTGCAGCAGTTTCACTGTACCTCACTTGCTGAATCAGCCTCCTATCCTTCATCCTTCAACCTACTTGATCTCCTCTCTTCATCTCCTCTCTCCATCCATCTCTCCCCATGGAGTATCAGGCACGTTCAAGCAGGCATCTTTTGAGTCGACTCAAGAGTCACCTCATTTGAGTCGACTCAAAAGTCTCCTCTCTTCATCTCCTCTCTCCATCCATCTCTCCCCATGGAGTATTAGGCACGTTCAAGCAGGCATTGGTGGCACACAGTGACTTTCTGGAAGCATGGAGAATCGGAGAATTCTCAAAAGTCATACCAATGCATTGGTGGCACACAGTGACTTTCTGGAAGCATGGAGAATCGGAGATGAAAGAGGGGGGAGGATGAGGCAAGAGAGCAGGGGAGAGCAGCTTCAGCTAAGCTAGGTGCTTCTATCCTTCCGCTCCCTTTCATCCTGCTAGTTTTGAGGCGCTTCAAAATGAGGCCTAGTTTTGAGGCGCCTCAAAATGAGGCAAGAGAGCAGGGGAGAACAGCTTCAGCTAAGCAAGGTGCATCTATCCTTCCTTCCGCTCCCTTTCATCCTGCTTAACTCTCAACTCGCCATCTTTCCTCCTTCCGTATGCCCCGTTTTCCCAACAGGGTATCAGGCGCGTTCAAGCAAACATCAGTGTCACACGGTGACTTCCTGGGAGCAGTGCTGGGGACGGGTCACGGGGATGCATCTCATCTCACCCACCCCTACTCGCTTCCCGTAAACTCCTTCCTCTCACTTCCTCCCTCTTCATTCCCATTGTCTCGTCTCCGCCTCTGCCCCCACAGGGTATCGGGCGCGTTCAAGCAAACATCGGTGTCACATGGTGACTTCCTGGGAGCAGTGCTGGGGACGGGGATTACAAGAGACAAAGTTGGTGACGTCATTCTTCTGGTGAGGTATTGGTGGTGCGCACTTGTAGCATGGTTGTGGGAGAGGGAGAGGGACGGAGGGAGAAACTCGCGCGTCAGGACTTTTGAGAGGCAATTTCAAAGTCGTGCCCTTTCAAAGCACACACCTTTCCCCCTTGTGTTCCCTGTGTGCACCATGCCTTGCCCCGCTCATCTCTTCTTGCGCTCTTTCAATGCACACGAGGGTGAGGAAGGACATATGATCCGCATGTCCTCCCATCCAGACCTCCTTGACTTCCTTCTCCCATCCATCCCACCTTAGACTTGTCCGTGTGCCCACATGACTGCCACTTGTTCCCTAGCGTCCCTCTCTCACCTCTCACTTCCTCCACTGCCCAGGGGGGCGAGGGAGCACAGGTGTTCATCGCTCCAGACCTGCAGGACTTACTTCTCTCCTCGATTTCCTCTTTACATGAGCAACACTCTTTACCCAATTCCTCTTCCTCCCTGTGATCATACAGGAGGGCGAGGGAGCACAGGTGTTCATCTCGCCAGACCTACAGGACTACCTTCTCTCGGCACTCACCGCAGTGCACCGCGTGCCAGTCACCGTGCACCCCATCAGCCATGCCCCTCTCCTCTCCTCTCACCCTCATTATCACCCCACAGGAGGGCGAGGGAGCACAGGTCATAATCGCGCCAGACCTACAGGACTTCCTTCTCTCGGCACTCACCGCTGTGCATCGCGTGCCAGTCACCGTACAGCCCATCCTCCTCTCCGACCTCTCAGTCTCCCCTCCCAGGTGGGTCAGTCTCAGGGTGAGTTTTCTCCCCAATGCCCTTCATCACTCAGAGTGATGCGAGAAGGAAGCCCCGCGCCCGACCTGCAAGACTTCCTTCTCTCGGCACTCACCGCTGTGCACCGCTTGCCAGTCACCGTACAGCCCATCCTCCTCTCCGACCTCTCAGTCTCCCCTCCCAGGTGGGTCAGTCTCAGGGTGAGTTTTCTCCCCAATGCCCTTCATCACTCAGAGTGATGCGAGAAGGAAGTCCCGCGCCCGACCTGCAAGACTTCCTTCTCTCGGCACTCACCGCACTGCACCGCGTGCCAGTCACCGTACATCTGATTGCTCACTCCGAGCTCTCAGTTTCCCCTCCCAGGTGAGCTCTCTCTATCCCCCTGATCACCAGTGTGGCAGTGAGCGATCAGATGTACGGTGATTCACTGCCTCACTGGTGATAAGGGAGATAAGGGAGCTCTCTATCTCCCTGACCACCAGTGTGGCAGTGAGTGGTGCTTCCCACATTAGTACCACTCATGCCCTCATCGCTATCGTCCTGTCTTCCCTCCTCCTCCCTTCACCCCCGGAATCAGCACTCTCTGCACAGTGGCAGCCTCCTTGCACCCATCCTACTATCCTCATGCCCTCATCCCTATCCTCCTGTCTTCTCCCCCTCCTCATCCCTTCACCACCAGAATCAGCACTCTCCGCACAGTGGCAGCCTCCTTGCCCTCCTGTTCCCCCCCCCCCATCCTCATGCCCTTCCTTCTCCAGAATCAACACTCTCCGCACAGTGGAAGCCTCTTTTGAGGCGCCTCAAAAGTCCTCACTACCCTCCTGGCATCCGCACAGTGGAAGCCTCGTGGCATCTCGAGACCATTGCCAGTGCTGCTTTCTTTCCCTCCCTTCCTTTCCCCATTCCATTTCTATCATACTGTATTTCACCCTCCATTTCCTTTACCCCCTTCACCAATTTCTCCCTCCAGCAGCGACACCGTGGAAGCCACTTTGCACCACCCATCCTCGCACGCACATCCCATCCTCCTCCCTTCCTCCTCTTCTTTTTCCCCTTCAGAATCGGCACGCTCCGTATGGTTGAAGCTTCCTTGCGTCTCGATGCCGTCGCCAGAGCTGCCTTCACCCGCTCCTCCTCCGACTTTTGTGAACTCAAAAGTTGCCTTCACACGCTCCTCCCTTCCCATTGTCCATTCCTATCCTTTTTTCTCGCCCTTCCTCCCCTCTTTCTCCCCCCAGAATCGACACCCTACGCACCGTGGAAGCCTCCTTGCGTCTCGACGCCGTCGCCAGTGCTGCGTTCCACCTCTCCCGCTCCAAGTTCACAGACCTCATTGCGTGAGCTCAGTCCCGCTAATAGTGCGAGCTCATCTCAGCTCACCTCATTTCTCTCTTCTTGTGAGTTGGCCGCTGGTTCACACTCCAACGAAGTTGCCAGTGCTGCGTTCCGCCTCTCCCGCTCCAAGTTCACAGACCTCATTGCGTGAGCTCCCTTCACCTCTGCTCGTCTGAGCCCAGTAGTGGTCCGATTGATTGAAAGTTGCTGCATCAGTTCAGCTTCCTGTCCCCTCCCCGGTACTATTGCAACATCCGTTTGAACGCTGCATTGGAAGTTGCCAGTGCTGCTTTCCACCTCTCTTGCTCCAATGAGTGGTGCTGAAGAGTGGTCATGTGAACGTTGTCTTTCCACTCTCTCCTTGCCCCTGGTGCCCCCCCCCCTGCAATCAACCAACAACCCTGATTTTTCAGCAAAGGGGACGTGCGAGTGAATTGGAGAGAGGCGGCTAAGTCAGGAGTGGTGCTGAAGAGTGGTTACGTGAAAGTCACGCTTTCACTCCATTGATGCCCCCCGCGCTGCTCCCTCCGTGCCCTCTATCCCACTCTGCTCCCTCCTTGCCTCCACAACCCACCTCTGTGACTCCAACCTTGCTTTCTCAGCAAAGGGGACGTGCGAGTAAATTGGAGAGAGGCGGCTAAATCAGGAGTGGTGCTGAAGAGTGGTTACGTGAAAGTCACGCCTCCACTCCATTATTCATGCCCCCGCCCTGCTCCCTCTGTGCCCTCTATCCCACTCTGCTCCCTCCTTGCCTGCACAACCCACCTCTGTGACTCCAACCTTGCTTTCTCAGCAAAGGGGACGTCCGAGTGAACTGGAGGGAGGCAACTAAATCAGGAGTGGTGCTGAAGAGTGGTGATGTGGTGTCGGTGCGGGGGAAGGGGAGATGCAAGGTGGGTCTATTTATTACTGGGGCACCTCATGCATGCACAGGGATGGGGGGAGGGGGGAGTGAGTGAGGTTGGGGGCTTGGAAGGAGGCAAGAGAAGGGACGGTGGAGTGTGGGAGTGATGGTGAGTTGTGGGATGGAAGAGTGGTCATGTGGTGATGGAAGAGTGGTCATGTGGTGATGGAAGAGTGGTCATGTGGTGATGGAAGAGTGGTCATGTGGTGATGGAAGAGTGGTCATGTGGTGATGGAAGAGTGGGAACAGGCAATGAAAGCTAAAGGGGAGGTGTGATCGGGGTTGATAAGAAGCAATGAGAGAAGGATTGTGGGAGTGGTGCTACGGTGGGGTTGGTATGAAGGAATATTGCAAAGTGAAAATGGGAGAGTGTGTGGTATTGTGCCAAAAAGTTGACAGAGAGGGAGGAGGGTGGGAAGAAGAGGCATGGTTGGAAGGTGCGGTCTTTTTTTGCCAAGCATCATTGTGAGTCATGTAGCAGGATACGTTTTGTTATCATCCATGAAACAAATGTCCTGTGCTGTTCGTGCGTATGCTTGGGATGCAGATTGGAGAGGTTACGACCACCAAGAAAGGACGGTTCGCAGTCGAGATCACAAGATACATTTGAAAATGTTGCAGTTATACACAAAGACTGTATGTAATCAAGGACAAGGGTGCCATTTGAAAATGTTGCAGTTATACACAAAGACTGTATGTAATCAAGGACAAGGGTGCCTGGAAGTTTTGTGAAAGTTTTAGCCGCAGCAAATCATCTACTTTCCGAAGGGAATTATGTGAGGATAGGCTTTAGTGCACATGCCGTCTATCTCCAAATCCCCTGTTTAGGTCATCCAATAACGGGCACGTTCGATTTTTGACATCTTGAACTTTCATTCTTCACATCACATGGCACTTGCCCCACCAACCACGTTCGACAGCACAGCATCCCCAAGATTTTGCTGAACCCCCAAGCGTGTCTACAGTCTGGTGCACTGTACACGCACATGGCACCAGGCAACATCACATGTGTTTCACACATCGTCCGAACTAGAATAGGTTCGGGGTTCCACCGAACCATCCATGTCTGCAGCACGGACGGCCAGATGAATGTCCTCCAAACCAATCGGGCAGATTACGTCTGGGACAAGCCACCGCCTCAGTTCTTGGCTCGGGAAGTGCAGTCCAGCCTGAGCCATCAGAACCCTTCATATATCGCTGGTGAGCTTCTTTTTCCTAGTTTCTGTCTCCCTCACAACCTTGAGAGTTAGGCTCTGTGCTCCTCTCGAGCAGAACTCGGCATAGCCGTGCACAGCTTATCCTAACGTCAAGGCCGACTGGGTCAATCTTTAAAGCGGTCAATAGTTTTCCGTGCTTTATAGAAGTGATTTTTCTTTATTTTGTTTTAGTGGCACTATCGCCATGGCCGAACCCTCGCCAGCACTGCCGAGCCAAACAGCCATGGTGCTTGACGAGGGGAGCCAACCAGTCGATCTAGTCAAGCACCCCTCGGGAATCGTGCCTGTACTACAGTATGTTATTTTCCCGCCATATTCGTCGGTCTTACTTTGTTAGAAGGCCGCGTGAAGCCTGGTATATGCTGTGAATGAAATGGATTTGAATTCGGACGTACTCGTCGGCGAGTGGATTCTTTCTCCCTCTTTCACCCTTGCAGAAACATAGTCTCTACAGTCAACATGGACTGTCGGTTGGATTTGAAAGAGATTGCACTCCGAGCTCGAAACGCAGAGTACAACCCTAAGGTATACGCACGGTGACATTCCTAGTCAGACGTCTAAGTAAGTAGGCATAGAGGACAAGCCTTAACTGGGGGGGATGCCGGTTGTCAAGCTTCCGCCTCTATCGTAGGGATGGTCTCTGTTGAGGCTCTGGAGGAGCTTGTGTGATAAGACCGTGGTCTTAGCTAGGCCTACTGGCGAGCCGCAAGGGCTGAGTGTTTGCGTTGAAGCCTTGAGTAACCAAAACTCTATGTTTCTGGACTCTGGTTTCTCCTCTCCGTGTCTACAGCGTTTCGCAGCTGTCATCATTCGGATACGCGAGCCCAAGACCACGGCTCTAGTGTTCGCCTCCGGGAAAATGGTAAGGAGCCTGTTTGTGTCGTGAATTCGGGATTGTCTCGTATCCGCACTTCTGTGCGTGTTGTCTTTGCTGTTTAACTCTTGAATTGCATCAACTCCTCTATTGTTTATCCGCTTTCCGGATGCATCAGGTGTGCACGGGCGCGAAGAGTGAAGAGCAATCGCGGCTAGCTGCTCGCAAGGTAACTTGCACTTGTAGCTTTGGCCTCATTTCATTGTTGTTCCTTCCGCTGTTTCCCCTTCCGATTCTCCGCCACAGTTTTCGTTTCGTTTGAATGTTATTTGTGAGGCGTACAGGGCTATTTATGATCGTCCGTGCTCCCTTGTTTTCCTTTCATGGCAGTATGCTCGTATTATTCAAAAGCTTGGAAACGACCAAGTAAAGTTCAAGGTACGTCGTGTCTTGTCTTGGTAACGTGATCCAAGTCATTGTTGCAATCATTAGTTATTGGACGCGCTGTTGCGGATAAGCGCTTCTATTTGTGACTTGTATTTCCCATTGATTGTTGCTGACATGCTCGGTGCCTGATTTCTGATCCTCACGTCTTCCAGGATTTCAAGATTCAAAATATCGTTGGTTCTTGCGACGTACGCTTCCCCATTCGATTAGAAGGACTGCAGATTGCACATCAACAGTTTTGCAGCGTAAGTTTTTATCAATGACAAACTCAGCCTTCGTTATGTTGTAGACCTTGTATGTACAGATTATTTTCTTCGCCTCATAAGTGTATTTTTGCTTTGGATCATTCTATGCACTTGTATGTTTCATCTTGATGGGTGTCTTCTTCCTCACGGTTTCCCCTTTGTCGCCGCCCCTCTTCTCAACCACGCTGCAGTACGAGCCAGAGCTTTTCCCTGGCTTGATATACCGCATGAAGCAGCCCAAGATCGTGCTCCTCATTTTCGTGTCAGGGAAGATTGTTCTTACTGGTGCCAAGGTGCGTTATAGTGGACCGTGTGTGCCTAGGTCTCCTGGGTGTGTTCTGTTGCAGGATATTTAGCCTTGTCTTCTTTTTTTCGCTTGTTTTTATTCTGTAAAAGTCATTTTCTGTCTCACGTTTGTGCTGCAGGTGCGAGATGAGATCTACCAGGCGTTTGAGAACATCTATCCGGTGCTCAACTTATACAGGAAAATTCAAGCAGGTGTGACAGCCTTTGCAGTTGGTGCAAATGCTATGTTATGGCTGGAAACGGTTTGTTTGTATGCTGGATACTGTATCTACGTTGGTAAGGGGTGTGCCTCGGTGTGTGCGTGGATGTGTGTTTGCATTGTGCGTGGATGTGTGTGCGCATGTGTCTGTGTGTACATGATGTGATGCGTCTTGTCCTGTTGCTGTGTGTACAGAGCCACTTCCACCTCCTCCTGCTGAGTTATGAGTCAAGCTAACGGGATCAGCAGCTGCATTTTGCAGCACTGCAATCAACTTATGGGCTCCTACAAGATGGCTAGTGTATTTACAAGGAGACGTGAAGATCACCTTATAAGCAGCTTGTGCAGGGATGAGATTAAAGAGTTTGTCTCACCTGCCTTTGTGCCACGTTGAAATGCTTAATACTGCCTTATGCGTGGTGACTGCTCTTCTCATTTTCTATGTGTACGTGCACTTGCTATGTAGTTGGGAGTCCATGTCAATCCCTCAGCAGTTTATTAAAACCCTAGTATTCTGTGTCATTCCACAGAATCGTTATGAGCAAGAGCCATGCCATCGTGCAAAGGTTTTTCATGTTTTATGAAATATCATTGGTGCCACATTCAGCTGAATGACATTGCTCTCCGAATGACTTGCCGCGTTCGCCAAAGATTCGTCCACTTCCGCATTCCGGCGTCGCACACTACGGTGTTGGGTCAAGCACAGTTCACCGTTTAACACTGCTTTGAAAAGTACTCAACCGCACAAATCGATTGTAATCATCGCGCGCCATTCAGCCGAGTCCGCTATTTCTCAGCACGGATGAGATCAGGAATTTCGAGTACAAAAGAGCAGCCAGTTCCTCATAAGCAGAAGTAATCATCAGCATTTCAGAAAGTTTGCACGCTGCTAATACGCGCGCGCGCATCATGGCAGTAACCCCGTTTCTCGGAACGCTGGCCGCCGTCCTAGTAGCCGTTTTTGTCAACCTGCAGTCGCTCTTAAACTCTAGCGAATTCCGCCCGCTTCCCTTCCACCCTCCGCCGCCTCCCGCGCCTGTCGGTCCGTTCGCCGCTAACGACCGTCTGCTTGCCGTTAAGAAACTCGCTCTAGGAAAAGTTCGCGGTCCGGAAGACGTACTTCCTGACGCTGAGGGAAACTTATACTCGAGCGACGCGAATGGATGGATTAAGATTCTGAAGAAAGGCGACGTGGAGCCTCGCGATTGGGTACACGTAGGCGGGCATCCGCTGGGTCTTGCGTGGCGGAAGGATGGGCGGGAATTGGTGGTTTGCGAGGCACTGAAGGTATGCTTTAGAGTCCAAGGCGGTGAAGGTGAATTAGGTGACACATAAAATCATAAGTAACTTCGCGACGTCCCATACCTATTTTACTCTCAGAGACGGGAGAGATCAGCACCTGACAAGAACCTTTCCCCTCTCCGTTGTCGCTTCCCTCTAGGGTCTCCTCTTAGTGGACGTGGCGACTCGCTCGATTCGTGTAATCTCCAATTCCTCCAACGGAATTCCTTTCAGGTCTGACGCTCCCTCTACCTGCGTGTCGTTCCGTCTTCCCCCAATTTTGAACTCAGAAGTAACGTTGCTTTACCTTGCAATGATTGTTCGCAGCGCTGATTGCCCTCATGTTTTTGTCACGTCCAGTGATGTTGCATCATGTTTAGTCATGTTCAGTCGTGTTCAATCCTGTTCCCTTATGTTCAGTTGTGTTCGGTCATGTTTAAGCATGTCTTGTCATGTCCTGGCAATGGCTCACAATTTCCATTTTATTTTATTTTTGTCCTTATCCTACATCTTTTGTAGCCCTCCCCCCCCTTCCCCTCCCGCCCTCCACTTCCCCTCCTTCTCCCCCTTTCCTCCCCGCCTCCCTCGTCTTTTCAGAAATTTGACCTTCTAATGGCTGCCCTCATCCTGTATGCTTGCCGCCCATCAGAATAACCGACAACGCTGACGTGGCGAGCGACGGAACCATCTACTTCTCGGATGCTTCTTCGCACTTTCCCATCTCGCATTTCTTCCTCGACATTCTCGAACAAAGACCCTATGGCCGCCTGCTGAGAGTCAACCCAGACGAGCAGAAAGCAGAGCTGCCAGATGATCCACGTCATGAAGGGGATGAGGATGCCACGTCAGCAACTGCCACGTCAGCAGGGGCCGCCAGCGAGGCAGGGCCTCTGGAGGCGGAGACGCTTCTGGATTGGCTCTACTTTGCGAATGGAGTGGCGCTGTCTCAAAATGAGGACTTCGTTGTGGTGGCTGAAACTAGCAGGTAGGCAAAGGAATTAAAAAATCCCTCTGCAAGCTGTTTGGGTCGGCTTTATAGATCACCCAAAGATATCCCTCTGAACTGGGATAAATGGTCTGACTCGGCGTCCGAGGTTTACATGACATGGCAATTCTATTGACAAATTATGTGTGTCGCCCCCCCTTCTGCACTGCAGGTATCGCCTGACCCGCTATTGGCTTAAAGGACCGAAAGCGGGCACATCGGAAATATTTCTGGACAACCTGCCCGGGTTACCAGACAATGTCAACAGCAATGGGAAGGGTCTCTTCTGGGTCTGCCTTGTGATTGTAAGTTGTGATGAGCACTTCGCACTTACATCATGCTGATTAACAAAGCCAGTGTTTTGAAGGGTTTCGTGCCTTGACATAGTAAGATCTTTCCTGCTCACAGCAATGCTTTCCAGCCTCACCAATCCTTGAGCAATCAGAAGTGTCTCTTTCTCTATTGAATGCCCTCATTGGCCTCTTGCCTCTCAGTACCTTCAACTGCCCTCTTTATTGCGTCTGTTGCCAGTGACTCCCTGCTGCTTCTATATTATTCTTCGCTCCACTCCCCTTTTTCCCCCATTTTCCTTCCTCTCCATTCCCCCCGCTACACCTACCTCCCTCCCCTTTTGCTCCCCTCCTCCTTCACCACCACACAGCCTCGTCAACCTGTCATGGACCTTATCCATCCCTTCCCTCTTCTGAAGGCCCTCATTGGTCTGTTGCCTCCCAAGTACCTCCAGCTGCCGTTCCTCGCTTGTACAATGCACCATGCTGGTGCCGTGCTGGCGGTGAACGAAGCCGGGCAGGTTGTGAAATTTCTTAATGACCCGACAGGGAAACATGTTGGAGGGTTTACAAGCGCCCGCGAGGTTGATGGCGGAAAGGAGCTGGTTTTTGGCAGCCTCTTGAACAATTTCATTGGTAGAGTGGCTGTGGAATGATGAGCCTTGTGCCTGATGTAACTCAAAGCTATGTCAATACTGTGTCCCCCCTATACGGAGTGGACTGCAAACGTAGGTGTAATTGTGCTTTCATATGGTGTTTGAGCGAGCATCTAGATGTATACGAATGTATCATCTGTACCAGGCACTGATTTGACTTATAGTTAGTAGATTAGGACAAGTTCGTTAAAGACCTAGTCCCAAGCCATGAGTCCCAAGTTGCACAAGATTAGAAACGTTATAAAATAGCTCATTGTGTAACTCGTCAATTGTCAAGCCTCTGGTGGGTCTTTGCACCATAGAACAATCAGAAAGAACTGCATGCAATGGTTAGGAAGGGTACCATTATACCATACTGAACAAGGCGTGTTCTTGCCCCTATGTCATGTACCGAACAGTATAACAAGTTTATGACCGACTCTCTTGAAAGGGTAGCTACTCACTTTTCAGAGGCATTAACTGATCACAGTTTCAGCTGTCCGGCCTTAGTGAGTTAGTATCATGAGTTCCCTTTCAGGCATCAGCTGTCATCTTCATCCTCACGTTGCGTTCCGTGTCTGTCACAGCCTTTACCTTGGTGGATCCAGTAACCTTAAGGCAGAACGCAGAAGTGTGGCGTTGCTCAAAAGGACGCGATGACCATAGTTGCATGCCAAATGAATTTCACTAAGAATGGCGACATTCCATGGCAAACGTATTAACCTAACAGACACTTAAAACTATCGGAAGCACAGCACGCGCTTCATTCAGACAACCTTGGAGGTGGAGACGATGAGATCCACGACGCGGTTGCTGCAAGAACAGGAAGGTAACAGCACATGTTAGATGTCAATTCCCAGCAGAGATTCAGTAAGGCGCAGTATTAGGTAATCTTCTCAGGATCGGCAGCGCGTACCTGTATCCCCACTCGTTGTCGTACCACGACACCAGCTTCACGAAGTTGTTGTTCAGAGCAATACCGGCCTTGGCATCGAAGATGCTCGACCTGAAAAGAAGGGAACACGATCATGACTCTCCACAATAATATTGCAAATGCAACATCCAATCTTATTTCAAATGCGAAGCTTACCTCATGTCACCGATGAAGTCGGCGGACACCAGATCCTCATCCACATAGCCGAGGATGCCCTTCAGAGAACCCTCAGACTCGGCCCTGAGAAGACGAAGTACAAGATACTTAGTTCCATTCTCATGCATGCCAGGTTTCTTTTCGTTCAGGATTGAATGTGCGTTGACTTACTTGAGAGCAGCCTTGATCTCATCGTAGCTGGCACCCTTCTCAATCCGCACGGTGAGGTCGACCACGGACACGTCAGCAGTGGGGACGCGGAAGGCCATGCCAGTGAGCTTGCCGTTAAGAGCAGGGAGGACCTTGCCGACGGCCTGGAGAAAGAATCGACGCATTGAAGGGTCAGGTCAATATGGTAGGGTCACGCGAACATCTCCATACCCGTACAAGGGGTGGCCAAAGGCGTACCTTGGCAGCACCAGTGCCGCTGGGAATGATGTTGAAGCCAGCACCACGGCCACCGCGCCAGTCCTTGTTGGAGGGACCGTCGACGGTCTTCTGGGTGGCAGTCACGGCGTGGACGGTGGTCATGAGACCCTCGACAATGCCGAACTTGTCGTTGATGACCTTGGCAAGAGGTGCAAGGCAGTTGGTGGTGCAGGAGGCGTTGGAGATGATGTTCTGGTCGGCGGTGTACTCGGTGTGGTTCACACCCATGACGTACATCCTGCACGAAAAAATGCAAGATCGATAATTTAAACAGTGCTCGCTGGAGCTGCACGTACGGAGCGTGCACGTACTCTAGACAAGATGCAAATCTTGATGAAAAAAACAGTGCTCGCTGGAGCTGCACGTACGGGGCGTCGGCGCTGGGAGCGGAGATGACGACGCGCTTGGCGCCACCGGTGATGTGAGCGGCAGCCTTGTCCTTGGTGGTGAAGACTCCCGTGGACTCCACAACGTAGTCGGCACCAGCCGAGCCCCAGGCAATCTCAGCCGGGTCCCTCTTGGCGAAGACCTTGACCTCCTTGCCGCCGAAGATCAGGGTGGACTCGTCCTTCACGGAGACATCACCCTTCCATTGGCCGTGGACGGTATCGTACTTGAACATGTACACCATGTACTGCAAACAAACATTGAAATTTGAGACATTGCCCTCGAGAGTGTCAGACATTGATCTTAAAGCTTGATAATTAGTCAAGCATCCAGTAAGAAAGGTGAGCACATCAGGGTGTAGATAAAAGATTCTTCAGGACGTACGGTGGTGTCAATGAAGGGGTCGTTGATAGCAACCAGCTCCACATCATCGCGCTTGAGGATAGCCCTGGCGACGAGACGGCCAATGCGGCCGAATCCTGAAAACAATCAATATTTCACGAAATGAGATCCAAGATTGCTGAATCTGCAAAACATGAATCCAGGAGCTAAGAAATCGTAAACGCACCGTTAATGCCGATCTTGACGGGGGCTGAATCGCAGGAAGTGGGAGACGGAACAGACAGCACACGATAAATAGAACGGTTATTAGCTCCATATTGTCAATGCACCACAACTACGGAGGGCGAAATTGAATCTAAGCTTACCCATGGCTAGATGACGAAGAAAACTTAAGAGATCTGGCAGAGAGGACGGGAAAGAATGGCACGGGGAACGAGCAGGTGAGATTCTCGATGACTGAGAATATAAGGAGGATGGACGAGCCTTCTGAAGCTAATCATTACCTGAAACGAGAGTGGAAGCTGGCTGGAAGTATAGCAAAGTATGCTTCACGTACAGAAGCAGAAATTGGTAAAATGATGTTCGTGAAACTCTTTATGTATGACCAAGATACCTGAAACTGACATTTCTTTCGCATGGCACTGGCATGCGAATGGCCGTCACGGAATCTGAGCTGGGCACATTGTTTCGGGCAAACCCGGGAATGCAGGAGGAAGATCTTTTCCTCGTGCTGACGATGACATGCCCCCTGGCCCAAAACGAGCCGCTAGTACACGTGGCAGAGGCGCTGCTGGGTGGGAGCTGGCGAGACACTGCCCTGCCAATGCGACTTTTTCTTCCAGCATGGCGCCAGCACAGCCTAGTTTCACCAGCGTGGTCGCTGGGCAAGTTGGATCTGCCCAACCAAAGTGGTGGGAAGCCCGAAGGGGTTGGGTTGGAGGAATCTCCGCTGTGCAGCCATTGGTGGAGGTGGAGGTCCTGTTTTGATTGATAGCCGCAAACATAAGATTTCACAACTGCGTAGAGTAACACGTGATTCGGAGTGTTTTTCCTTCTCTGTACACAAATGAGATACCTAATCACGAAGCATTTTCCGATTGCAAGAACCCACCCGTCTGCCGAACACCACTCTGCACTGCACTGCAGCGCAACCTGCTGGCTGGACATTCCGCACCGCGCGGACGCCCACCAGTTCAAGCGGCTGGGGAGTCCGCGACGCGAGTGAACAATTTTTGCCATTTCCCTCGCTTTTTTCGCACCAACACGTTTTCATTTCACCCAACAGCCGCTTTTCCTCTCACCTCCCTCACACACCTGCTCCTTCGCTTTTCGCAGTCATGCGAGAAGCAGACAGCCCGAGTGAGCTTGCCAAGCACAGGACAGCAGCACCACCCAATTTCGTACCCATCTTGCTCCTCAGCCTCCTTCCCACGGCTCGGTCTACCATTCCCAGTGCATGGTCCGGCTTGACTGAATCCTTTACCGAAACGATTTCCGCTTTTCCCCCTTCGCAGCAAAACTGTCTGATAATTTCAATACCACACTCCAGTGTTCAGCGCTTTCACCTCAGTTTTCGCGCTCGTTCTTGCCTGCCGTCCCAGTGTAGCGCTCGCTTATTCCTGGACTGCTTAATCGTTTTTTTTAAAAGGCCGACCTTTCTGTGGAGATCTTACTTAGCTTGTAAATTCCGGAAACCAAGTGGTAATTCTGAAGGGTGCGCCGGCACTTTAGCTTTCCTATCCATCTCTGGTTTTGTGGTTTCGGAAACGCCGGTTACCACCAGCTCACCTTGGCGCTCTCCTCCTGAAGCCGCGCGGAGTTTTTAGGTGGCGCACAGCGCGTTTCCTGCCCTTGCTAGAGCCAATTACATTTGACGTGAATCCTGTTTTGACCCGTCAGACTCCGTACACAATAGGAACTCCTATTCGTTGTGTGAACCTCTAAAAGGCTCGATATGCGGACGGCGGCGCCGGTCTGCCGTTATCCCATCTGCCGTATCTTCCCCGCCGCTTCCCCGTCAGCCTCGATAGGACCAGATTGCAAATAGACATGTTGTCGAGTCGCTTTGTTTGAGCCCCGTTGTCGAAACGCGATATAAAGCTGCTGAACAGGTGGTTCGTAGCGAAACACTAGTTTTTTCACAAGATGGCTCAACGACTATCGCAGCTATTAGTAGAGGGGATAAAAGACTCCGTATCAGAACTGTCGATTCAAGAACGGCAGACGAAACGACATCTCGGCGTACTCCGCAATTTTCGCCGCTACGACCGGAGCTGGGGCGCGCAGACCATGCGGCGGCACAATCTAGGTTCAATTCTGGTTGCAATATCCCACGCTACGCTCGCGATATTGGTAGCGTCGTCGCTGTTGTGCGACAGCGTCGCAGCTGGAGCAGCGGCAGAGTCGCACGGTCAAATTTGGTCGCACGTTGACTCCCTTTCTGCACTTTCGTCGTCTTCGTCGCCTGTTGCGACGTTTTCGCCGGAATCGACTCTCGCGTACCTGCTGACGGGCGAGAGTGGCGCGCATCCGCGACGGCTGCAGGCGAAGAACAAGGCATCGAAAGCGGCCGGTTGCGATTATCGCAAGGGCAGGTACGCGAGGGTAACCAGTATCTCGGCCAAATTGACAATGATCTCGCTACGAATCAGTTGCTGAAAATTCGGAGAATTCTGGAAACTGTAAAAGCTCTGAGAATTCTGTTTGGCGCTTGATATTCATCTCCATTTCTTATTTCTTTCGTGCCCTGGCCCTACTCCCTCTTCTTCTTATCACTCTCCCCGTAGCTCCCCGCACTCCCTCTTCCCATACATCCCCCTTACTCCCCCTCCCCGTACCACTTCCTGTCCATTGTATTAAGCAAAATCTAATAGATACCAGTTTCTCTACTCCTTTTAACCTATGCACCTCACTCCTGCACCTCCTCTCTCCTCATCCCCCCCTACCCCTCCTTACTCTCCCCCTTTCCCGCCACTCCTCACACTGCCTATTCATATCACCAATCCTCTCCCCTCCCTTTCCCCCAACGTCACCAATCCTACTCCCAAATTCATCCCCCCTCTCGTCTGTGCCTCTTTCCACCTGAACATCCCTCCCCCAATCCCTCCCCTTCCCTCTCCTCCCCACCCCTCCCCCTACCTCCCCCTCCCCTTCCCCCTCCCTTCCCTTTTGGCTTCCGACTCCCAAACCACCCTGCGCAGCTGGGTGCACATTTCCAAGATACCCGGGTACAAGGTGCCGTACCCCCTAAACTGCTCACAGCACTTCAGCTGCGATATCTGTGAAGTCTCAAAAGTCGTTCCCCTCCCCTCCCCGCTCCTTCCCCCTCCCCTCTGCGCAGCTGGGTGCACATTTCCAAAATACCCGGGTACAAGGCGCCGTACCCTCTAAATTGCTCGAAGCACTTCAGCTGCGCCAACGTGCCTCCCGGGAAGCAGCACCCGTCCAACTACGTCTGGCCTTAATTGCTCGAAGCAATTCAGCTGCAATGTTTGTGGGCTCATAAATCGTCCCCCTCCCCTTCCCCCTCTCCTTCCCCTTTCCCCTCCCCCTCCCCCTCCCCCTTCCCCCCCCACTCAACCTCCCTTTTGCGCAGCTGGGTGCACATTTCCAAAATACCCGGGTACAAGGTGCCGTACCCCCTAAACTGCTCGAAACATTTCAGCTGCACTAACGTGCCTCCCGGGAAGCAGCACCCGTCCAACTACGTCTGGGTGCCCGCGCCGCCCTGCAACTACTACACGTGGAAGTGCGTGATTGGAGGGTTTTGACGAGGGGAGGGAGGAATGGCATTCGTGGCGGTGTATACTGTATTGGGGGAAGAAAGTTGGTTGGGTTGGGGTAACAGTTAGTAACGAGGGGCTGTAGTTACACTGCTTCGTAACATTGTTGCAATATGAGTTCTATTTCAGGAGCTGTGTAACCTTACAATTACAGTCACATTATCGTTATATTCACAACCGCACACCTGCTTCCACCCTCCACCACCCCTGCCCCCCAGGTTCAATGGCAAGCGGTTTCTAAAGAAGATGCGCAACACTGTGATGGCACTGCCGTTTTGATCGCCTTTCATCCCTTTTTTCAAATATTCGTTGTAATCACACTCGCGCACATCGCTCTCTCTCCGCCGCCCCTGCCCCACAGGTTCAATGGCAAGCGATTTCTAAAGAAGATGCGGAACACTGTGATGGCGTTTGTGGGTGACTCGTTAAACGACAACCTGTATGAGGGCATCGTGTGCCTCCTGCAAGCAACAACACGGGTAGTGGTGAGCAACTATAAGTTTTATTTTGATGCTTTTACAAAGAAACCATAAGAAGGCTCGGGTTGGCAATCGGAGACTCAATTACAACCTCACCAGTCCCTCCCATTCCTCCTCCCGTTCCCCTCTACCCCCTATACTTTCTCTCCTTCTCCCCCATCACCCCACACCACTTCAAGCAGGTCAAGGTGGGCAATCGGCGGCTCGGGTCCTACCTCGTCCCGAATTACAACCTCACCACTCCCTTTGCGTTCCTCTCTCCCTTCTTCCTACTTCCTACGCTCCTCCCCTTTCCCTCCCCTCCTCCCCCTCCGCCCCCCCACACCAGTTCGAGAAGGTCAAGGTGGGTAATCGGAGACTCGGGTCGTACACTGTGCCGAATTACAACCTCACCACTCTCTTCCATTCCGCTTCCCGCTTCCCTTCCCTTTCCTCCCCTCGTCCCTCTCTCCATCACACACAGTTCAAGAAGGTCAAGGTGGGCAATCGGAGACTCGGGTCGTACTTTGTGCCGAATTGCAACCTCACCACTCCCTCCCATTCCTCTCCCCCCAATCCCTTCCCCTCTGCTCCCCCTCCGCCCCCCCACTCCAGTTCAAGAAGGTGACGGTGGGCAATTGGAGACTCGGGTCCTACTTTGTGCCGAATTACAACCTCACCACTCCCTTCCACTCCTCTCCCCCTTTCCTTCAAAAGTTCAAGAAGGTCCCTCACCACTCCCTACGCCCTTCTCGCTCCTCCCCCCACCAGTTCAAGAAGGTGACGGTGGGCAATCGGAGGCTCGGGTCCTACTTTGTGCCGAATTACAACCTCACCACTCTCACCATCAACAGTGGCTATTTGGTTCAAAGCCCACGATATGTGAGTGTACCGAGGGTGCTTATATAGGATACATAGGATACATCACGCATGAACTCATGTTATAGTACACAATGAACCTCATGTGGGCCACCCTCCTCGTGCCCTCTATAACTCTCTCTTCCTCTTCCTTCATCCCACATCCTTCCGTCCTCCCCCATTCTCCCCCATTCTCCCCCAATCTCGCCTCCTCCACCCCCCATTTCCCCATTCTTCCCCTCCTCCCTCCTCTCCCACAGACCACCAAACATAAGATAGCAGTCTACACCATGAACCCCAAGTGGGCCACTCTCTTTCCACCTCCCCTGTATAACTCTTTCCCATATCCCCATGCTCCCTCCTCCCCCATCTCACCTTACCCAACAGACCGCCAACCACAAGACAGCGGTGTACACAATGAACCCCAAGTGGGCCACACTCCTCCCTTACACGGACGCCATCGTGTTCAACGCGGGCCACTGGTTCTTCCACCCGGTGAGTGCGTGTTGCTGCAACTGGTGTGTTACAGTGTTACAGGCTCACGGCAGCACTGCTGCATCACCCCCAAGTGGGCCACGCTCCTCCCTTACACGGACGCCAGTGTCTTCAACGCGGGGCACTGGTTCCTCCTGACACCAACCTCTGCTCTCTCTCTCCCCAACCTGCTCAGTGTTTTGAGAGTTTTTTTGGGAATTCTCAGAACGTGTTTTGAGACGTCTCAAAACACTGCTTCCCCCTCACACCAACCTCTGCTCTCTCTCTCCCCAACCTGCTCCATCCCCCTCCCTTCCCCCCTTCCCCCCCTCTCTCCCCACAGCCCCAGAACCAGTCGGAACCCTGGTACCCCATTCCAGTCATGAGCAAGGCGCTGGTAACCGTGCGGGACTATTTCGCCAAGGCGAACTACAAGGGAGCAGCTGTCTTCTTCACCTTCTCGCCCGTGCATGACAAGGGCTACTGCAACGCCGCTCAGCCGTTCCCGACGAACGTGCAAGCGGATAACACGCTCATGACTGGGGTGCAAGTGGGTGGGTGCTGGTAACCAGGTAACTGTTGGGGCTCTCTTTCATGTGCAAGCATACAACACACTGATGAGCTTCATCCTGCCAGCCATGAAGAAACAGGTGCGTGGTTGGTTACCACTGAACACCCTCTAAACAGGTGGGTGGGTGCTGGTAACCAGGTAACTGTTGGGGCTCTCTTTCATGTGCAAGCATACAACACACTGATGAGCTTCATCCTGCCAGCCATGAAGAAACAGGTGCGTGGTTGGTTACCACTGAACACCCTCTAAACAGGTGGGTGGGTGCTGGTAACCAGGTAACTGTTGGGGCTCTCTTTCATGTGCAAGCATACAACACACTGATGAGCTTCATCCTGCCAGCCATGAAGAAACAGGTGCGTGGTTGGTTACCACTGAACACCCTCTAAACAGGTGGGTGGGTGCTGGTAACCAGGTAACTGTTGGGGCTCTCTTTCATGTGCAAGCATACAACACACTGATGAGCTTCATCCTGCCAGCCATGAAGAAACAGGTGCGTGGTTGGTTACCACTGAACACCCTCTAAACAGGTGGGTGGGTGCTGGTAACCAGGTACCTGTTGGGGCTCTCTTTCATGTGCAAGCATACAACACACTGATGAGCTTCATCCTCCCAGCCATGAAGAAACAGGTGGGTGGTTGGTTGCTGGTAACCAGGTAACTGAAGGGGTGCACTACTGTGTGCAAGCGGGGCACCTATATGAGTGCCATGCGCCCTGATGCCCACCTGGAGCTCACCTCTTTTTTTCCCTATCCTCCTCTCGTTCCTCACTACCTCCCCACCCCACCACATCAGGTGACAGTGATGAAAAGGTCGACCATGAAGGTAGCAGAGGTCACCTACATGAGCGCCATGCGCCCGACGCCCACCTGGGGCTCACCTGAACCCCCTCTCCCTCTCCTTCCCCCGTCTTGCTTCCCTGCCCAATGACAATGTTCCAGGTGACTGTAATGAAGCGGTCGACCATGAAGGTAGCGGAAATCACGTATATGAGCGCCATGCGCCCTGACGCCCACCTGTATCTGAACGGTCGCGACTGCAGCCACTGGTGCCTGCCGGGTGTGCCCGATGCCTGGTCCGACGTACTATACAATATCCTGATTGGTGTGCGGAGGAACTTCACATGAGGGGGAAGGATGGTAGGGAGATGTGGGAGGAGGGATGTGGGGTGTGGGGGAGGGGGGTGCCCTGACGCCCACCTATGTTGGTTTGACTTCTGAGAATTCTCAACAGAGCTGCCCCGACGCCCACCCGGAGATGAACGGCCACGACTTCAGGAGGAATTTCGCATGAGGAATGATGAGACGATTTTTGAGTCGACTCAAAAATCGTTTCATCACACGGGGTGTGGGGGAGGAAGGTGCCCTGACGCCCACCTGGAGCTGAACGGCCGCAACTTCAGGAGGAATTTCAGGAGGGATGGCGTGTGGGAGAGGGGGGGAGAGGATGTGGGAGGAAGGATGTGGGACATGGGATGCGGGGCGTGGTAGAATATGGCAAGGGGTTGCTTGTTTGCTGCATACAGTGCACCAATTTGGTGTCCTCATAAAGGGGTGCACCATTTGCGAGAAAGGATGATTCTGGGTTTAGGTTTATTTTCATGAATATTCAGGACACATGTCTTGCTGACATTTCCTGCTATAATAAATCAAGCGGCATTGTTCTTCCTTTCACTATACGGCATTTTGCTAGTACAGTACCATTTATGCAATGATCTGTGATATATGTGGCGCCAAAACCTACGGTAGTGCCGTGCAGTGCAGCAGCTACTGCAAGCAGGAACTGCAGGTACCACCAAATGTTGTGGCTGGCATATTGGTAACAGCTCATCAGAAGAACCACAGGCTAGCAGCTTGATTATCTACCTACCTACACCAAGCAACCACCCTTTTCAGAAGACTTGGAATGTGAGAGCACAAGTCTGATTGCACTACATGAACATTAAGTCAATGCGAAATGAAAAGTGGGGAGGGGAAGACTACTGCAAGGTGCCGTAAATGTTGGGGAAGACATCCTAGTGTTGGGAAAACAGATCAAGGCATAAACAATCATGGACGGGATGTAGCGAGAGGACAGCACAGTGGATGCGCTTGTGACGTCTCAAGAAGATGAGTGAGGGGGCTGGACATAGCTAGCGCTTGTGCGTTTCTAAGCATCTCAGTTCCGCCGCTCCACCCCCAAGTGAAGCAGCAGCGTCAGCAGCCGAGTCACCAGGGGCAGCGCCAGCACCGAAATCCAATCTCTCAGGCGTCTCAAACACCGAAACTCGAGGCCTGCTTATGCTTGCCCCGCAGCAGCAGCCACCTCAGCGGCGAAATCCGAAACCTTCTTCTCAATCCCCTCTCCCAGAGTAAACCTCTCGAACCGTCTCACGCGGATGTTCTCCCCGAGCGCAGCCACCACCTCCTTAACCACCTCCTTCACCGTCACCTTATCGTTCTTAAGAAACGGCTGCTCCAGAAGAGCCAGCTCCGAGACGCGCTTCGCCAGCCGCCCGTCCACAATCTTCCCGCGAACCGCCTCCGGCTTGGAAGCCAAATCCTCCTTCCCCATCTCAATCTCCCGCTCCTTGGCCAGCCAAGCGGGGTCTACATCCTCCTCGCTCACCACCTGGACTCCCGGGCACGCCACGACCTGCATCGCCAGGTCATCGACCAGCTCCCGGAACTTGTCCCCGCGTGCGACGAAGTCCGTCTCGCAGTTGATCTCGATCAGCGCGCCGATGCGCCCGTCGTGAATGTAGCTCCCGACGATGCCCTCCGCGGCGATGCGAGATGCCTTCTTGTCTGCGCTGGCCAGACCCTTCTTGCGGAGCAGCTCCCGGGCAGCATCAACATCCCCATCGGTGGATTCAAGTGCTTTCTTGCAGTCCATCATGCCGGCGCCGGTGGCGTCCCGAAGCTGCTTCACTGCCGCCATAGACACGGCGACCTTGGGCTTGTCGGCAGCAGGTTCGGGCGCAGCTTCGGCGGCCGGAGCGGCAGCAGGCGCGGGAGCAGCAGGCGCCTGCACCTGGCTCGCTGCTGCCACCTCCGCTGCGAAATCAGCCGATTTCTTCTCGATACCCTCCCCGAGGTTAAACCGGATGAAGCGGCGAATACGAATGTTCTCTCCAAGAGAAGCAATCGCCTGCTTCACCACATCCTTCACCAGCACCTTATCATTCTTGATATACGGCTGCTCCAGCAGCGCGAGCTCATTCAACCTCTTCGCCATCCTCCCGTCCACAATCTTCCCGCGAACCGCCTCAGGCTTGCTCGCCAGATCCTCCTTCCCCAGTTCCACCTCCCTCTCCTTCGCCACCTGCTCCGCAGGCACATCCTCCACAGATACCACCTCCACCTGGGGGCAAGCCGCCACCTGCATGCCCAAATCTTCGACCAGCTCCTGGAAAGCACTCCCTCGGGCGACGAAATCCGTCTCGCAGTTCACCTCAATGAGAACGCCGATGCGGTCCGAGTGAACGTAGCTGCTGACGAGCCCTTCGGACGCGATGCGGGAGGCCTTCTTGTCGGCGGAAGCGAGCCCCTTCTTGCGGAGGATCTCACGGGCCGTGTCGAGGTCCCCGTTGGCGTCGGTGAGAGCCTTCTTGCATGCCATCATGCCGGCCCCCGTCTCCTCCCTCAGCTGCTTCACCACTGCGGCTGAAATGCCACCTGCTGCTGCACAAGAGGCGGGGTTGTGGGGAGGGAGCGGGAAAAGAAGCAGGGTAAGGGAGATTGTGAGAGGCCTTCTTGTCTTCACCGGAAAGCACCAAGCCCCTTGTGGCGAGGCCCTTCTTGCGGAGGATCTCGCGGGCCGTGTCGAGGTCCCCGTTGGCGTCGGAAAGGGACTTCTTGCATGCCATCATGCCGGCTCCCGTCTCCTCCCTCAGCTGCTTCACCACCGCCGCTGAAATGCCTGTCGGGAATGGGTAGAGGCGCAGGGAGCGGGGGATAAGGTTGAGTCGAGGTCCCCGTTGGCATCAGAGAGAGCCTTCTTGCATGCCATCATGCCGGCGCCGGTTTCCTCCCTCAGCTGCTTCACCACTGCCGCTGAAATGCCTGTTGGGAATGGGGAGGGGTGCGGGAAGGGTTGGGGAAGGAGGAAAGAAACGGGGATCAGCTGCTTCGTCACCACTGCTGAAATGCCTGAACGGGAAGGGGACGGTTCGGGGAGTGAGGAGTGAGGAATGCGGGAGATCGAATGGAGAAGGATGGTGGAAAGGGAGGTGAAGCAAAGGCAAAGCTGCACCATTGTGTATGTGCCATTATGCATGTGCCACCATGCATGGGCCGTTGTGCACGTGCCACCATGCTTGCACCCTCTGAGTTGGAAGCATGGGCATGTGAAAGTGTATGGGGGTGTTAAATTGGAACACCAGGACAGGGGAAGAGAGAGAGAGAGAGTCCGTTTTTTAGGCACCTCAGGAACAATAGGACAGGGGAAGAGATAAACAAAAAGTGGAACTATGCAACTGTCAAGGGTAATCAATTTGGAGCCAGAGGAGACAGACTGCAAAGACGCAGCCCCAGGGAGGTTTGTTAGTGAACTAGCGAGAACAGGCTACTGGTACGGAACACATGAGCAAGGGCTGGGCAGTGAGTATAGGCGAATGTGTAAGGAGAGGCATGGTTAATGGGTAGTTGGTGGCTCAGTGGAGTGGAAAGCTGTGGTAGGAACGCTTTGTTGGTGGGGAGTGGGTGAGTGTGGGGGAGGGATAGAGGGAAAGCAATGGGAGGAGGAAGGCTGAGGCGAGGTGAAGGCACAGGCGTGTGAGGAAGGCTGCTGGGCGGTTTGATAATTTCAGATTGGAGAAAATTATTTCTGCATTATCAAGGTAAAAGGTTACACAAAAGGGTTAAACAGCCAGACAACTCGTTTGAAACCCTGAGCCCTAAACAACATCCCTCCACCATGCAAACAGACGCAACTAGCTCGGCCCCCCTTCAGCACCCTACCCCCTCCCCTACTCTCCCCCCTCGCCTACGCCCCCCCTGCTAATCTACTCACTGCTACCT